AATTACCTGTTTCTTTCTAATTCTTTCATAGCTATCTGGGTATCACAAAATTACCTATCCCTCCTTCCAGATGCATCCTTCAGTCTGATTCTGTCTATACTGGATGGTCATTTGGATGTCTTGTGAATGCAGTAGATAAACACACAAATACGTGTATGGATGAGAGAGCAACGGAATTCAAGTACAAATCAACAATAGTAGGTTTGGAAGAGAGTTTAGGAAGCAGATTTTGATTAGTCAATGATGCATAATCTATTGTAATACTATAACATATAAGGTAACTAAAAAAAAATATGGGGAAGTGATAGAAAGGATTCCAGCAAAAGGTGAGAAAGGAATAGGAACATCAGACAGTTGGACCAAATGGGCTGTCAGTGTTCATTTATAAGTACAGCTCACCACATGCTGTTTACAAGGGACAAACCTAAGTATGAGGAAACAGACGAAGAAGAAGGTAAAGAGATGGACGAAAGGCATACCATGCAAAAATTGATGCAGAGAAGGCTTGGTGTAGTCAGGCTGATGTCAGATAAAGCAAAAAGCTTTACTGGAAATAAAGAGGGCAGTTTATGTTGGTAAAAGGTATTTTCATCAGGAAGGTATAACCCTGAATTTGTACTATCTTGTAACACTTCAGGAGATTTTTAATACATTATTTTCGGTAACTGACAGAACAAGATTAGACCAGAAATTCTAAAAAATACATATATAAGATAGCATACTTAATAAAATTAATAAACCTTGGATGAAGCCGACCACGAAGAAAGAGAAGCCCTCATTAACTAATGTTGAGGTGAAGGGGGTATCACAAAAGCTTGCGAGAGAGGATATTATAAGAACTTAATGTGAGTGCATTTGAAATTTAGACGAAGTTAGACAACTGTTAGAAAACTACAACTCAACAGAGCAGACACAGCAGGAAATAGAAAATCTGAATAGTCCTGTTAAAGAAATTTGATCCTTAATGGAAAGAGCTACTCACTAGTTTTGAAGTCTTTGGGATTCACATACACAAAAAAAGAAAAAACAAACTACCCACAAGCAAAACTCCTGCTCCAGAAGATTTCACCAGTGAATCTCCCATACGCACACATAAAATCGTTATCAAATTGCATTCTAGAAATGGAAGTTTTTTGTTTGTTTTTACAGGGTCTTGCCCTGGGCTGGAGCAGTTGTGCAGTCATGGCTTACTGTACCCTCCACCTCCTGGGCTTAAGTGATCCTCCCACCTTAGCCTCCTGAGTAACGAGGACCATCGGCATGTGCCACCACAACCTGTAATATTTTAATATGTAAGAAATGGGCTTGCAATTGAGTAGAAAAAATAGAAAAGCAACCTGAATACACATTTCACAAAGTGATGTATAAATTAAATTCACACTAGAGTACCACAGCACAAATACACTTGGCCTAAAGGCTGAAATTAGACTGATGATTCCATGCCGTAATGAAGGAGTAGAGCCTGGGAATTTTCATAAACTGCTAGTGGGAAAATTGATTGATTGGAGCCCCCCCCCAAAAAAAAAAAACAAACCTGGAATAACAACAGGCCAGCATCTCTGTATATACCAAATGATGTGTAACAACAGTCTTACAAATGGCAGTGTTCATAATAGCCCCAAACTGGAAATAATCCAGCTGTCAGTCACTAGTGGAATACATAAATAAATTATCCCATATAATAAATACCCATATATTGTGATATTGTAAGGCAGTGGTAATGGACAAACTACAGTTTATAGGCACAAGATGAAGTAAGCAATCCTGTGTTACATTAGTCTGTTCTCTCCCTGCTATGAAGAAATACCTAAGACTGGTTAATTTATAAATTATAAATAAAGGTAGTGTCCAGTTCTTGAACTTTATAAAGGAAAGAGTTTTAACTGGCTCATGGTCCTCCAGGCTGTACGGGAAGCATGAAAGCCTCTGGGGAGTCCTCAGGAAAACTTTATATCATGACAGAAGGTATTGGAGAAGCAGGCATGTCTTACCCAGCCTGCAAAGTCAGGCAAAGGGGTGAGGTGTGGCACAGTTTTAAACAGCCCATTTCTCCTGAGAACTCTTACCATGAGAGTGGCACTAGGGGGATGGTGCTAAACCATTAGAAACCACCCTCAGAATCCAGTCACCTCCCACCAGGCCCCTCCTTAAACATGGGGGATTACAATTAGACATAAGATTTGGGCAGGGACACAGATCCAAACTGTATCACTGCTTATATCAAATAAAAACAAATCTGGGTTTCAAAGTCAGGATAATGGCAACTTTAAGGAAGAGGAAGGAGCTGTTGGTTAGAAAGGGTCATAGAGTGGTGTGATGGTTTTGTGACACAGATTCATTTTATGATGGTAGTTTAAGTTTTATGCTAATGGTTTTTGTAGTCTTTTCTACAATATTGCACTAAATAAGTTTAAACATAGTACGTAACAGTGACATGGATAAGAAAAACAAACATTTTTATAAAAGGTGCTTGCTGTGTGTCACAGGTTTCATTCTGTGTGCCTATTGGTGGTATCTCATTTAAACTTCAAAACAAGGATTAGGGTTGGTATACTAATACCTCTACTTCATAGATAGGGAAATCAAGGCTTTGAATAGTTAAGAAATTTGTCAGTCACATCCTTAGTCTTTTACTGTTTATAAGAATTTTTATATATTAAGGACCTCAATTCTTTTTATTTATATTCCTTCCCACTTTTTTTTTTTTAAAGATAGGGTTTTGCTCTGTCTCCCAGGATGGAGTACAATGGTGCAATCTCAGCTCACTGCAACCTCTGTCTCCTTGGTTCAAGTGATTCTCCTGCCTCAGCCTCCTGAGTAGCTGGAATTACAGTCACCTGCCACCGTACCCAGCTAATTTTGGTTATTTTTTTTTAAGTAGAGATGGGGTTTTGCCATGTTGGTCAGGCTGGTCTCAAACTTCTGACCTCAGGTGATAAACCTGCCTTGGCCTCCCAAAGTGCTGTGAGCCACCATGCCGGGCCTTTTTCTTTTTAATGTAGAGATTTAAAAGCCCTAATTCCCCTCATTATTTGAATTTAGCTTTTTAATTTTTTGCTTTTACAAACAATACAAGGATAAACATGCTTGGCATCTCTGTACATTATTGATTATTGCCGTTAACAAATTTATAGAAGTTCTTTTAAAAAGTGAACAAGGTGGTTTTACATAATTGAATGAATGTATTTTTGACTATGAATGATAAAATGTTTAGAAAAGTTAGCCATCTTTCACCACAGTTACACTATCCTTTTACTTATTAATAAATATTAATCACATAGATTGGGTCAATTAAGGACCTCACTGTAATGGAGAAAGAGAGAGAGGAGAAAGTAAAGTGTAAAAGCAGTGCTGGGGCAGTTGACATTCCAGCTTTAGCTGGGGTGGAGGACTTGAGATTTTTATTTTGGAAAGGTCACTTTAGCCGTTTTATTGAGTAGATACAGAATTGCAAATAGAATAAAGACAGAAAGAGCTATTCGGAAGCTGTTTTGGTAATCTTAAGTGAGATATGTGGTGCTGTAGATGAAAAGGTTGTGTTTGAGTGTTCTGTTAGGAGATAGAATGAGCATGACTGGACAGCTGTGGGGGACGAACTCTAACATGAGTTCCAGAGTGTTGATTCTGGTTGACTGGGTAGAAAATGGTGTCATTCCCTGTGGAGGAAAGTAGGGTGGAACTTATGTTCGGGGAGCTTTGTTCTCTTCGTTTTACAGAGTCTGTGCCATATTGAGGTAGAGACGGAATGCGCCACAAGACGGGCACTGGCCCCATCAACCTTTAATGCACATTGACTGTGCATTACTCTACAGTAGTTGCAGATAACATTGGGTCATTTGTTAATTGCCAGAGCTGTTCTGAGTATGTTGCATGTATTAAAGCATTTAACCTTCATAGCAACCTTTTCAGGTAGACATTATTATCATTATCAGGATCTTAGGTGTGCAAAGCCATACAGCTGGGCAGCAGTAGAGCTGAGATCTCCAACGCCAGCAGCCTGGCTGAGAGTCTGTGCTCTTCACTGTTTGCCACCACTATCGTGTGTCTTGAAAATGGTAGAAGTCAGAAGTATTTTTGTACCGAGCAGTATGGTCTGTTGTATTGTGACTGTTAGCTGGTTAATTCAGGAGGACAGGCACAAGTCTGAGTTTAGTCATTCTTGTTGACCTGGGTTTTAGGCTTTAGTCTGTGATTACAACTTTGGCCGAGTAAGGAGGATCTTTTTAAAAATCCTTTTCTTAAAGAATTACAATTTATTAGATACCAAAACTTCTGTGGACCAAAGTGTTAATTTTTCATTTCTGCCATTGATAGTATGATCATGATTCATCCTACCTGTAGGATAATTATTGGCTGTTCTTTCTTTGTGGTGAGCTTGCCAGGTCTAGATTGTCTTAGTACTGTTTGAAAGGTGCAGAGGAGTCCAACAACCTTGGGTTGAGAACTTTAGTTCTGTGGTGTGTGTTTCTTTGCCTATTTTTATACCCAGCCTTTGATTACCTGTGTCTATGGAGAATACCATGAGATTTCACCTGGTTTGGGGGATGCTGGCGATGTTGTTTGACAGAAACCTGGCAGCAGGTGCAAAACGCCATCTCAGTAGTGCTCCTTTGAGTTGGTTTGTGAGGAGCTGGTCCATCGGAGGAGTCCCTCAATAATTCAGAGAGTACTTACATTATAACTTATATTATGGTTCTTAATTGATGAAACCTATGGTTCACCTATGGTTCTCATAGGTGAAAATGTATCTTAAAGGTTGTTGCTGTTGGCTTTTACAAAAAGATTTTCTCAATATAGGTTTATATTCATTTTAATCACTACGGATCTTTTATGCCATTTAAAACATAACTGTTGTGTTGAGTAACATATCTGTTTATAGTTAGAAAGGTTTTTAATAGTGAATATCCTGAAGTTCTTATTTAAAGAGCCATTTGATACGTTAAATGCTACAAGTATTAGGATAGCAATACTTCCTTTAAACCTCACTTATCTTCTTGTAGGAGGAGAGACTTCAGCATGCAAACCTTCATCTGTTCGGCTTGCACCGTCATTTTCATTCCATGCTGCTGGCCTTCAGATGGCTGGACAGATGCCCCATTCACATCAGTACAGTGACCGTCGCCAGCCAAACATAAGTGACCAACAGGTTTCTGCCTTATCGTATTCTGACCAGATTCAGCAACCTCTAACTAACCAGGTAAGCTAATGGAGTGTCAGAAATGACTATTGGAATGGCAATTTATTCCTTAAAAATGTTGTACTATTAAGTAGACAAAGTGCTTTAATGGTTTTCAGTTTGACATGCAACGTGGGATTATGGGTTGAGAAAACATGATGTTAAGTTTGCACTAAAATGTTTTTTTTTTTTTTTTTTTTTTTTTTTAATTTTTACTTGTATTTCACTTAAACAAACATTCATAAAATAACCACAGTCTCTCATTCTGTAATAGAGAGGGGGATAGTTATTTCTGAGGAGTCTTAAAGGAACTTGAAGAAAAAGCTTATTTTTATGGAAAGGTGGCTAAGTTAAAAAATAAAAGTTAAGGAAAGCAGGTCAGATTCCATTACAGCAAACTTACGGAACCAACTTTGTGCTATTTTAAACTACTTTCTGCATATTTGTAACAATAAATACAAAACTCCTTAAAATTCAAAAGAGACATGCAAATTAACCATGCTATTTATTGTAATATTCAGACAGGCTATTCATTATTTTTCTATGAAGTAAATGGAATAAATGTTGAGTTCTTTTGGTACACACACACACACATATTTATGTGTGTATGTATTTTTAATATCTATCTGAATTAACTGCACCATCTACACATTGATTTTTGGTTTGGGGAGACGTACTAGCTGGAGTTGAGACCAAGTGTCTTGCCCCACTGATACTTGATGTGTGATGAGCACTGAAAGTGGCTGCTTTTCCATGGACTTAGAAATGTGCTTCGCCATTCTTCCGTTTAGGTCTTTTTTTATATAGGGTGAGAGTTGGGAAATTTAAAAGTATTTTCCTGGATTATTCGAAGGAATTGTGTTTTCTCAAACTCAGTTATATGTATGGTTTGAATGAGCACTTAGCAGCAGCCACAGATCATCATAAGTAAAGGGTGTCTTATTTGTATTATAAAATTTTGATAGGTTGGCATAATGTTTATAAAATATATAAGGTGTTAATAATGTTCACAGTTAAATAGTTATACTAAGATGTATTTTGGCAGGACCTGAGATTTTCTTTTATGCAGTGAATTAATTGAGTTTAGTTGTTTGTTTGAGAATTGGGGCAGTTCAGAATGTCCAAGTTTGGAAAGTGTGTGTGTACCAGAAGAAAGCTTTCTGGAAATCTAATGTGTAATCGTAACACAGTGATCCGCTTGCACTTTGAGGAAACCAAGTCAATTCAGATGACTTTTCCCACTTGTCAGAAGCAGGCTGTTAGGCAGAGTGCTGTTTCTAACGTGTTTCACAGCTGAAAGGACTGCGCTCCTATTTGTGACTTTTCCATGTGTGTGAGCAGGAGGCTGTGGGTCCAGCCCAGGCTTCCTTCTTCCTAGATACCGTGCTCTTTCAGGTCTAACCTCTGACGTCTGCAGAGGGCTAGGAAAACTTCCAGTCCTTTAAAGTCATTTTTCTGGTTATATTATTTCAGTAAATAATTTAATTAGCAAAGTACCTATTTTTATATGCAACTAACATGTATTTGGATCATATAAAATAAGAGATATTTAACTTACTTTTTCTGTTAAAAGCTATGAAATGCTTTTAAAGATTTATGCGATGTAAAAAGACTATCTTTAAAGTAATAATAGGCAGATATTTCTGCCAAAATCCCAACATTTCTGGGCCTAATAAGGGAGTCATATCCGAGGATGCCTTTCCTGTCACTGAAGTGTGAGCTGTGTGTGAAGTGGCGTGGCCTAGTCACAGGGCCTGGCGTCAGGTTCTCAAGTTGGCTCATGATCCGGTTGTAGGACTTGAGTCAGTCAAGTCATTTGGACCCTTCGTATTTGTTTCTTGGGTGTAAAATTGAGACCTCTGACTAGACTGCCCCCCACATGAAGTAACTTCTAGCTATAAACTTCTGTAATTTTATTATTTAATTTCCATTGTTTCTTGTTAATCGTTCTATCAGATGTCTTTTAAAAGAGAAGTAGAGCAAAAGTAGGTGTAGAAGAGAATGACTGATGTTTGGAATGCTGAGTCTTTGGGCTTTTCTAGTTTTCACAGTAACTTTCATAGTTCTTAAATGCTGCTGGTACCCCGGATAGGTGTTATAGATGCTATTCAGCTTTATTAATGCTCTCAAAATAAGAAGAAAGGAAGAATACAGTCTTTCTGATTCTTCATTATATATGAAAACATGCAGTAAATATAAATAAAAGGAAATCATTATTATAATGGAAAACAGTTTATGAAAGGAATTCTAGAGCTTATAGTAAAGAATTTTTTCAGGAAAAAAGTTAATTATTGTTTTATCTGTAATTGATCTAAGCAGGAGGTTTGTAATCTGCGTGAAGTAAAAGGAGCATCGAGGGCGTGCCGTTTCTGGCTCCCTGGGTCAGATAGCTGAGGCAGCAGGAGGAGGTCACATCTGCTGCTCTTTTACTAGGTTACTCCCCTTGCAAAAGGAGTCATTCCTGCAGCTTGGTGCACTCCTGGGTCCTCTGAACACCATGGACTTAACTTTTTGCTGTAGAAGGTAGAAGAGAGCTTGCTCTATTACTCTACATTCTTTTGACATTGTGACTAGAAGCAGGAAGTAGAGAAAATGTCAGATGCTTAGGGCTGGCCTTGAGTCTTATAGATGTGTAAGTAGGTATTTGGAAAAGCTGTTTTCTGTTTCTGGATATGTACTGATGGCATCACAATGTTGCAAAACAAAAATTTGGTTAATGTGAAATCACAATGAAAGCATAGGGAGTCTTACTTGCTTTGTAGACATTTATTTGTTCTTTCCATGTATTTTGAGTATCTCTATGCAGGGTGTTGTTTGAAGCACTGAGATACAAACAACTTGGCCTTGTAGGCAGTTTGACCAATTGTGGGCAAGATTAGCAGTATTTTGTGAAGTGATAAGCACACAGCACATACTCATATTAAATGCAGAAATTTGATCATGTAACTCATGTTTATATCCTATTTTGTGTATGTACCATATTTTTAAAATTGTTTTTTTTTTCGATTGTGTGTGATTTTGGTGTTTTTGAGTGAGCATCATTACTCCTGGATGTGGTCCCTGATTCTTTTTTTCAGAAGTTTGAAATACCAGTGGAATTGTAAATGAGCAAGTTAAAAACTTAAAAGACATTCACAGTCTTTTTTTATATAACTAATTTTAATAAATGCATATGCTTGTTTTAGGCATGCCTTAATTACTTTGCCCAAAAAATAGCCTAAAAATGACTAAGACGGGGTGGACTAGAGGTGTAGCATTGATAGGGAGCTCCTGGCAAGAGTGTCCTTGTTAAGAGTCTGGGCTAGGCATGGACATATTCAGCTATAGTATTGTCTTTGCTGCTCTTAAACTGGCTCTGGGACCTTGGTCAAGTTCTTCAACATTGGAGACTCTGGTTTCTCATGTGTGAAATGGTCACAGGAATAGTAGTTAACTCTCTTGAGATCGTTGAGGGGACTACATGGGAGACTTGTAAAAATACGCATGCTAAAAACATCTTGTTTATTAAATACCTGCTACTGTTAATTGACTCTATCAATGGCTTATATACTTCCTATCAGCTTTTAGCAGTAATGAAGCATTGCACTGATTCAGATTTTGTGAAACCTCACATCGAGGCTGTACTCCACCAGCCCAAGAGAGGGGGCTTGCTGAATAAACTACCTGCATGAAACAATGCTGGGAACTTTAAAAAAGAAAACACCTGGCCGGGCGCGGTGGCTCATGCCTGTAATCCCAGCACTTTCGGAGGCCGAGGCGGGTGGATCACGAGGTCAAAAGATCGAGACCATCCTGGTCAACATGGTGAAACCCCGTCTCTACTAAAAATACAAAAAATTAGCTGGGCATGGTGGCGCGTGCCTGTAATCTTAGCTACTCGGGAGGCTGAGGCAGGAGAATTGCCTGAACCCAGGAGGCAGAGGTTGCGGTGAGCCGAGATCGTGCCATTGCACTCCAGTCTGGGTAACAAGAGCGAAACTCCATCTCAAAAAAAGAAAACACCCTTAAGGGAAACCTCTTTCATTACCTTAAATGCTTAGAGCATTCATTCACAAAAAAATTGACTTGTTTATTACACGTATTATTTAGGCATTAAGTTCTTAAGGAATAGTATAAAAATACTGTGAACTTAGCATTACCTACTGTTTATATTTAGAAAAGTAAGACTATATTTGACAAATTGAATAATTCAGATCTTCTTAATTCTGATGATTTTTATCAGACAAACGGTTATGATCACCTAGAGTTTTTTTCCCCCTTTAAACCTGATTTGGAATTTTAAGAAGCAGAGGACCATGAGAAGAGATACTGTTATTTCAGTAATTCAGTGAATTTGCCCTCTGGGTAACAACTTTTTAGAGTTTGAGTGTACATGCAGAAGAATCCAGTGTTAATGTTGGTTCACAATAAAGTGCACATAGGTAAATGCTATTAACAATTCTATCTTTTTGGACCACACGGATGGTGATTTTTTTCTGTTCTGCACACTGGTACAACCCTCCCCTCTTCTCTTTTTTAGTGTGGGTCAGGTTAACAATTAGATCATGACTCCACGCCACACATTTCTGCAAGGTCTTAGTATGATGTGTTTACTGTCACTCTGCCCCTCAGATTGACCTGAATGTCCTTGAAGAGGGGCTGTGTCACAGTCTTCTGGCTCATTTCCCAGCACAAATGTCCAGAAGAGTTGGGCAGGAGCACCAGAATCAGCCAGGGGGAGTGGTTGTGACCATCTTGATGGGATTAATTGGTTTTGAGGATCTGTTGATTGCAAGAAGCCTTACTGGGAACCCTTTGAGGCAGGACACTTGGTGGAGGAGTGGCACTTGGACAGCAATCCAGCATCATTGACACTAGCTGCAGCACTCCTGGATGTGTGTATAGAGCGGGTGCATGCCCCTGCTCTGTCCTCTTTAGTAATTGCTGTGGAAATGGTCTAGCAGGGTGCTCACGGTGGAACCCCTCATTGTCTGTTGGATGGTGTCGAGAGCCATGAGTTGGGATCAGGGAAGGCGAGGACTATGAGGGCAAGCCTTGGTTAGGGGGCAGATATTTGTCAGAGGGCAGGCAGAGCCTGGTGTCGTGAGGAGCTGAATTTCTTCTTGTTAGTAGCAGTTGGAGGGAATGGGGCTCTGCTGCCAGCCTCCTTTTTCGGTGCCAGTTGGGTCTTGAAATCCTATCTTAAGGAAGCTGAAAGTTGCCTCTGAGGACTGGCTTTATCTTTGTCTGCTAGTTGTGAACCAGGTCAGGTTTTAGGAATAATTCAGAAAGAAATTTTCTTTGGGTTAATTGTATGGTAGAGAAGCCTTGTGGGCAGCATCCTGTGTGTCTCCTAGATTGAGGTATGTCTCTGATTACACCATTTAAATTTGGGGCTCTAGGATCAAAGCCTTGGGCAGCTGAGGATATTATCTTCTGATTTCATTTATTTGTTCTAGTGATTGTCTTTGTTGGAATCCAGATGAAAGGGAACTTTGAGAGAAAATGTATAACCATCTAATGTATATAGATGTCTTTAAAAGAGTAGATACACGCAGGTTACAGAAGAGGGAATTTATATCAGTGCAGTAGAGTTAAAGTGCTAGTCTTTTCTGTCTGTTTAAGGTGATGCCTGATATTGTCATGTTACAGAGGCGGATGCCCCAAACCTTCCGTGACCCAGCAACTGCTCCCCTGAGAAAACTCTCTGTTGACTTGATCAAAACATACAAGCATATTAATGAGGTAAGATTTGTTCCAATAACGTTTTTCTTGCAATACATCAGTGAGAAAAAAAGCTATTTTGTGATCTGTTGAAATACTCTCAGCTTTTTTCATTCCTGATTATCGTATTGATGATTATTATGAAGACTAATGATTTAGAAATAATATAATTACAACTATGTAAAAGATATATTAACAAGGGCTGCAAGATATAAAGAAAATTGTGGATAACTCCTGTTTTTTTTTTAAAGGTTGTATTCAATATTACTGTTATTACTTTTATAAATTTTTTATTTATTTTTTCTCTTTTTCCGAATTTCTTTTGAGTTACTTCTATAATTAACTCTTATTCAAACTAAGAAAGGGGAATAAGGACTCTAGAAACATATATGTGTTAAAATTTTTGCTTGAAGTTTTATATATTTGTTTCTACTTTTGCTGTGGGTGTCAGGAAGCTCTGAAATATGTTTATACCTAGTTTCAGGCATTTGGCCTAGTTTATTTGGTCTATCTATTTTTCTGTGATTTTATTGTCTTTTAAATTTTTATGTGTATTATTTTATCTCTTTTTATGATAAGATGTCCAGAAGTTTTTTTGTTGTAAGTAAAAAAGATAAAAAACAGAGCACTTTGAATTGCCTGTGTTATAACTTGGTATTTTGCCACCAGAAAGTTTTCTGGTGTCTTGGACCATTGACTTGATTGACATTTGCTTGTGGCTTCAACTCTGTCTCCAAAATTAATTATTAAATGAGCATTTCTGGAGGAGAACCCATGCTTTCTTTCCTCTTCCAGTGGGGCCCTGCACCCTTTCATCATTTAGACTTGTTCTTTGCCGGCTTTAGAACTTCTTAACTGAAAAGCTGAAAAATGTTCTTAGGTACATGCAGATTTTATAGCAATATAACGTTATTTTATGCCAATATTACTACATTACATTGGCAGTGCGGCAACATAAAGTTAGCATGAACTCTGTCAGGAACATTTCTGAGTTAGATTTTGTACACATTTGTGTATTATAAACATGCTCCAGACAAGCTTGTGATTATCTGAATATATCTGATAAATTGTTGATAACAGTATATTAATTTCAGTTCGTTGCTATCTGATAAATTAACAGATCTACAGTTAAACTGTTAACAGTAGCTTTGTTGGAGCTTGTTTTTAAATATCTTACCACCTTATAAAGTAGACTGTTTTTGATGTTAGTCCATGCAGTATAATTTATAATTTCTCCATAGTTAATTTACTAGTTACCTGGACTATTGCCTGTTTCACCTATTATTATTATTATTATTATTTTACTAGTCTTAGAAACAGTGTTATAAGAAAAATAACTCAGCCTGTGATTAACCATAGGCTTACAGTCTTTGGGAGTGGGGCCAAAGGGGCCATAGCTGTTTTTCATTAATCATTATATTTTTATAGGTTTAAAAACTGGTGGGCATGTCTCAGTGGGCCATTTTTTTTTTTTTTAAGTAAAACATCAGTTTGTCTACATTTAAGCTTATTTAAAAAATATGTGGCCATAAAATCAAATATAAATAGATATGTACAGGTTACAGAAGAGGGAGCTTATATTAATAAATTCTCTTTATATCCCAAAGTTGGGATTGACTGGAAGGGGGGCATGAAAGAACTTGAACTTGAGGGAGATGAAAATGTTACAAATGCTGTTTGGCATTTGGTGATTTTTGTCAAAACTTCCTCATGTACAACTCTTAAGAGCCATGCCATCTTACTGTATATAAATTATACTTTAATTCAACAAATAAATATAAACCAGGCCCTTTTACTTTTCTTGAATGGCATACTTCGGACAAGTCACTTAAGATTTCTTATTTCCAAAGTGTATAAACAGTATAACTGTAATTAGTTTCACTGTAGACCTTTTTCATTGGTTATATTAGTGATATTTTCTAACTCAAGTGTCAGTTGTAGAAAATGATTTAATTTTTTGTATTTGTTACAAAGAGTAAAAATCCATCTATTTCCTACTTGTAGATGTGTCTCAATATACTCTGATAATGCTCTTCCCCTCACAGTGATTTGAATTTTACAGTGAACACTGTGTAATTCTCATTTTAGGTTTACTATGCAAAAAAGAAGCGAAGACACCAACAGGGCCAGGGAGACGATTCTAGTCATAAGAAGGAACGGAAGGTCTACAATGATGGTTATGATGATGATAACTATGATTATATTGTAAAAAACGGAGAAAAGTGGATGGATCGTTACGAAATTGACTCCTTGATAGGCAAAGGTTCCTTTGGTCAGGTAATTTAATGGAAAATGCTGAATTTAATTAATTACAAAGAACTTCTTGGCGAATTTTGTTGTTGCAGCTCTTCCTCAAGAGCATACTTTTAATATTTGCAAATAATGCTCAGCAGTGGATACGTGAGTATTTGGATGACCATAATTCTTTAAAGGTAGTAATACTACATCTATCATAAAAACTCCTTAGGCTTGTACAAACTTTTATGGCTACCAGGTACTCATTTTACTAATGAGTGGTTAATTTTAATCACTAATAGATAGTATTGCCTCTTTGATATGCGCCTTGTATAGTCTGTAGATGATTGTTAGTATGCTAGAGATATTTACCTTGTCTGATAGACCACTTCAAAGAGAGACGAATTACCATGTTCAGGTGGCGCAGTGGGAATGTGCTTACTTTCGAGGAGGCTTTGGAAAGCCTGGAGTTGTGCCCTGGCTTTTTCTCCCATCTCCTGTTGTAACTATACCAGACCTCTAAGCAGGCAGGCAGTCTTTAGGATTCCTTGTAATCCTCAGTACCAGCATTGCTAATATTATGATTGAGTAATTTTGATGGATAGGATCATCCAGGCAGTTTCTACCAGGAAGGGATTCCAGTAGACCTGTTTTTTTCCCCCTCTTCGTTCTCAGCCTCTTCTCCCTACCTACAATTTTCTGCTCCCCACCTCCTCACCCAGCCCCATTACAAAGCGCACAGCCCTGAAAACATGAATCTCTTACATCAGTCGCACCAATACCAAGAGGTTTTGGTCTTTCTCCTTGTACTCTATTTATTTAGAGACAGAGTCTCACTTCTGTCGCCCAGGCTGGAGTGCAGTGGTGCACTCTTGGCTCACTGCAACTTTCGTCTCCCAGGTTCAAGTCATTCTCATGCCTCAGCCTCCCAAGTAGCTGGGATTACAGGCATTAGCCACCACACCTGGCTAATTTTTATATTTTTAGTAGAGACGGGGTTTCACCATGTTGGCTGGGCTGGTCTCAAACTCCTGACCTCAGGTAACCCTCTTGCCTTGGCTTCCCAAAGTGCTGGGATTTCAGGCATGAGCCACCACACCCAGCTTTCTTGTACTTTTAAAAAGATTTTTCAGGTCAGGCGTGGTGACTCACACCTGTAATCTCAGCACTGTGGGAGGCTGAAGCAGAAGGATTGCCCTAAGCCCAAGAGTTCCAGACCAGCCTAGGGAACATAGAAAGACCTTGTCTCTATTTATTTAAAAAAAAAAAATTGGGGGGAATCTCTGGCTGTGGTCCCCAGCTGTTCCCGATTGTAAGTCCTTCAATCACATTGAGTTACAGAGCTCTGTTTATTTGAGGTGTGATTTGCTGATAAACTGTCTCTTCTGCCTTGCAACCCTGTGGAATGAGATGGTTATCACCCTGAAGCCCAAATATATCTTCTGGCTTTTCAGTGATAAGGATAGAATAGGGATCAAAATGACTTTTCCTGAATTGCCTTTTTGTTGTTGTTGTTGTTGTTATTTTCTTAAACTGAGGAACCTGCATGTGCTCTGTTCCTGCCCTGAGAGAAAGCAAAATAGACGCTCCTGTTTAACCTGTGAGAAAAAGTCATTATGCTTAGAACAGAAAGTGTACTGTATGTCATTAGTAGCCACAGGTCTAAATCCAGAAAAATAAACGTGTAAGCAAATATGAACATTTGTGTTAGACCTGTGTCATTCCAGTGTGGCCCTACCAGTCCCTGATGTCACTTGTATATGTCTCCTCCTCCTCACGATTTGAAAGATTTTTGGTAATTATACATAATCCAGGGACTTTTTCCTTGAATTACAACTTACTCTTCTGAGGGATTTTTCAGTGCTTCAGGCATCCTCTGGTTTTTTTGTTTGCCTTTTTTGTTGTTTGTTTGTTTTGTTTTTAAGAGACAGGGTCTTACTGTAGCACCCAGGCAGGAATGCAGTGGAGTAGTGATCATGGTTCACTGCCTTGACCTCCTGGGCTCAAGTGATCCTTCCACTTCAGCCTCTAGAGTAGCTGGGACTATAGGCACATGCCACCATGCCTGGTTAATTTGTTTTTTTTTTTTGTAGAGGCGGGGTCTCACAATGTTGTCCAGGCTGGTCTTGAACTCCTGGGCTCAACCAATCCTACCATCTCAGCCCCCTACACTGCTGGGATTACAGGCCTGAGCCACCACACCTGGGTTGGGAGTCCCTCTTGATGAAGGTATTCCTGTTGGTCAGTCCGAAGCAGCTTTTCTATTACCTTCTTAAGGAAAGGCATTTGTGAGGCCCAGTCCTTAACTAAAGGTATGAGCACCCTATACTTGTCCCCAATTGGGCTACACAGCAGGAGGTGAGCGGTGGGTGAGCAAGCATTACTGCCTGATCAGCAATGGCATTAGATTCTCATAGGAACTTGAGCCCTTTTGTGAACTGTGCATGCAGTGCATCTAGGTTGCATGCTCCTTGTGAAAATCTAATGCCTGGTGATCTGAGTGAGGTATTTCATCCCCAAACCATCTACCTCTCCTGGCTGTGAAAAAAATTGTTTTTCACAAAACTGGTCCCCGATGCCCAAAAAGGTTCTAGACCTAGAGATTGCCACCTCTGCCATGAAAACTTCATAACATTTGGGCAGTTGCACTTAATAGGTCACTTTTTTTTTTGAGGCAGAATTTTGCTTTTGTCCTCCAGGCTGGAGTGGAATGGTGCGATCTTGGCTCACTGCAACCTCTGCCTTCTGGGTTCAAGTGATTCTCCTGCCTCAGTCCCCTGAGTAACTGCGATTATAGGTGCCCATCTCCAGGCCTCGCTAATTTTTATATTTTTAGTAGAGATGGAATTTCACCATGTTGACTGAGCTGGTCTCAAACTCCTGACCTCAGGTGATCCACCTACCTGAGCCTCCCAAAGTGCTGGGATTACAGGCATGAGCCACTGCCCTGGGCCTAATGGGTTACTTTCTGACTTTCCTGACATCTACCATGCAGATTGTGGCCATACAGCCTGCTCTTTAAGCTGATTTGCCCCTGATGACCCAGTCTTTATGCTCCTAGTTACATTTTTCTTCTCCCCTTCACCTTCGTTTTCTCATACTCACATTCCACAGAAAGGTGAGCACAGGAGGCCTGTTTGACACTGAATTCCTTTTTTCCAGGGCACACTGTGACTTTCTCTCTTGGGCTGAGCTACTGTGCAGTGTCCACGTTGAAGTTCAGGTCCTGTGCCTCCCCAGGAGGACAGTTCTGTATTGACTTGGTCAGACTTTCCCACATGCTGTGTCGGGTTATTGTCAAATGAGGGATTTCTCCATTTCCTTAGCCAATAATTACCAACCCTGATTGCGTATTGAAATTTTCCTGGGGAGCTTACCAAAAAAAAGTACTGATGTCTGGGCTCCAGACCAGTTAAATTCTCTAGGCATTGATATAAAAGAAAAGAATATACCTTATTGAATTCGTAATTCATGGTCAAAAACTGGCAGTTAGCCCCTTAACTGTTTGGCAGGTCAGTAGATGCTCGAGCCCCCACGAGTGTCCTTTGTTCTGCAGACCGTCAGGATCTGGGCACTGAACTGTAATTCTTGGTGCAGTCAGTACATCCAGTGAAACAGACGCATGTTAGAACCACTTAGCCACATGTTTTCAAGGGTAGTCTCTGTGATAAAAGAGCACAAATAGTGTCTGTTAGAACTGGGTGAAACCGGAGATTAGTGCATTTTCTATTCCAAGTTTGATTTCAGTTGAACCATTCAGAATCTGTCACTCAAAGTAGACTCAGCCTTGACTGATGTAGTTCTGAGAGCATATGTTCCATCTTCTTCCTGATCTAATGGTTTCATCCTGCTCCTTGGAATCATTTGGAGTTCCTTCCCCATCCCCAGACTTACGGTATTATAAATGTAACTTCTATTTAATTAGTTATGGTTATCGCTGGTTAATAAGAGATATCATTTTCTTTTACTTGTATATTGATTTTGTAATATTTACGTAACTATTTTATAATAGTATGAACCTCATTTTAGATGAGTGAAATTTAAAGTGAGGGCTGTGCATGGTGATATGTACTCAGGAGCACTGTGGTTTTCTTAGCAGTGATTCTCATTTTTCAACTATCATAATCCCCTAATTACGGTGTTTGTGACATTGTAGAACTTTACTGGTAAGTTGTGTTTATTTTTTAGTGTAAACTAATTTTTCTTTTATATACTTAAGTTTTTATGTATGATAATCTAATTGAAAGTTAGAAAGTTATCAGAAGCCTTCTGAAATAAACTTTTAAATATTTCATACATATTCTTAGGGTCCAGGTTTTTCTCATTAAAATAATAGTTGGATGAGTTATATAGTGTTAATTAGTAAGAAAGATAAATCTAAGCAGTTGTCAAGATTCATAATTTATTTCTGATGGAGGAAAATAATTTTATTAAGAAAATTATTTTGTGAATATTTAGAAATATTGTACAAATGCAAAAAGAAATTCAATTTAAAAGATTGATTTAAAGTTACTGTGTAATACACAGTATATTGAATGGCCATATTGAATAGAAATATACAGTTTCTCCTCTAATTAGGAAGGTCAGAAAAGTGATAATTATAAAAATGTGTAATTGAGAATTAGGTAAATGTTATAATTAAGGTGATTTATAAATTGTGAAGTTGTTGCCATTAATGAAATAGAGAATTATTTATGTTTCCTCTCTTTTAGGTTGTAAAGGCATATGATCGTGTGGAGCAAGAATGGGTTGCCATTAAAATAATAAAGAACAAGAAGGCTTTTCTGAATCAAGCCCAGATAGAAGTGCGACTTCTTGAGCTCATGAACAAACATGACACTGAAATGAAATACTACATAGGTAAACAGCTCAGTATGCCCCAACCCAGACCAGAACGTTGAGTTAATGCTTCTTTTTTATCAAAATATTTTTTTTCCTTTGAAGTGGTTGATTAAAACTTTGTTTCTTTCTGTTGGACAGCAAGATTCATACAAGTGACTTGATCTGGTAGTAATAGTCTAAATCTTGGGAAATGTGCCTTCCAGGTAGCATACCATGTAGAAACAAATGAGAATAATGTGTATCATTTGCAGGTTGCCGGTGCTGTTTGTTTGCTTTAATGATGCATGTTTATCCAAAGGGTCATCTTTCCAGAAACTTTAACCATTTATAATCTAGTTCAGAAACTAGTTGTGAGCTACTATGTTGTTAGTGGTTGTGGAACCATTTTGGGGGCATCTGCAGCAAGATCTCAGGCTCCTCCCCAGTCTCTTCATCAGCTTGGTAGCATTGGAAGCTGTTAGACTTAGACTACAGTAAAGAGATAATAGCCACTGCTTATTGAATTTTCACCACATTCCTTATGCTTTTCTTTCATCATCCGTAATAGTTATAACAGCCTATCAGGAAGATGGTAGAATCCTGAAATTACACGTGATTTTTATAAAAGGCAGCATATCCAGGGTCATAGGGCTCTGCAGCTAGGATCAGAAGCTGTGCTACTACTGCCTAACTCAGGTCTATTTGTTTCATTCTCACATAGTCTTCCTTCTGAAAACACAAACAGGAGACAGAAGACTTGTGAAAATACTGAAGTCTAGGGCCATTTGATACATGGACAAAACATCTTCTAATATACCTTCTTTAATCAAATCTAATATGTCAGTGATTAAGACACCATATTATGTAGCATTAGGGAAAAAATTGTTAAGTATTCATATAAGGTGCCATCAATCGAAGATACAGACCTTAGGATCAGCACATAGCCATAGTCACCTGTGTTCAGAAACGCTGACTTGACTTGACAAACATAAGATTGAGTTTTATTTAGCAGATTCTTTTAAGAAAACATTGTGGTTCTTTGGTCCCCCCCAAAAAGGTAGAAACAAATAATGGGTGTTTAAAAGGGGCAAGCTTCAGATTGTTCAGATTAGATTTTGTTTGTGAAATACTGTTCATTTCTCTTTGTTAAAATATAAAATGAGTTTGTGTACTATTTTTCTTTCTTAGTTTCTTTTTTTTTTGTTTTTTTGAGACGGAGTTTCGCTCTTGTTACCCAGGCTGGAGTGCAATGGCGCGATCTTGGCTTACTGCAACCTCCGCCTCCTGGGTTCAGGCAGTTCTCCTGCCTCAGCCTCCTGAGTAGCTGGGATTACAGGCATGCACCACCATGCCCAGCTAATTTTTTGTATTTTTAGTAGAGACGGGGTTTCACCATATTGACCAGGATGGTCCCGATCTCTTGACCTCGTGATCCGCTCGCCTCGGCCTCCCAAAGTGCTGGGACCACAGGCTCGAGCCACCGCGCCCGGCCTTCTTTCTTAGTTTCTTTACAGATACTGGTAATTCATAATAATAACATTTTTATCTTAAAACCATTCTCATCACACTCAATGAAACTTTGCTTTTCACTGTCAGTTATAACTGACCCATTTCCATTCAAGGGTTTTAGAAACAATCAAGAACATTCTAAGGATGCTTGACTTACACAGTGATCTCTGAACATGCCTCTCAGCTTCTACTCACTCTTGAGTATTTGCTTATGAAGCAGAAAAAATACTGATAGCATACTGTAACATTTTAATTCTGCTTTATTTAAAAAAGTCATAGCTGGCATATAGTTAAGCACTCAAAAAATGTTAGCTACTCAGTTCTGTATAATGCTAGTATTTTGTTTTGAATAAAGTGACATTAATGATCATTTTATTAATTGTATTAGTCATTACAGATACTCTGGATGAGTTTTGAAGTTCTTATTTTAGAAGATGGTGAATGCATAGTGTCAAGAAACTGAGATTCTGTTTGGAAAACAAAAGAACTTTAGATTAGATAAGTTCATGTCAATTGAATTGATACTTTAAACTTAACATTATCTGAAAGTCATATTTATTTTTATGATGTGAATTAATTTTAAAGTGATCGATGAGTGTAATTTATTCTGATGAGTTTTATTGTCTTGTCTTTGAACCTTAAAAACATCTACTACTTTACTGTGTAGCCAAATTTCATCTGGATTATCTAGTACCTGCCATAGTCTAGTTAAAAGAAAATTCAGTTTAAGTCTACAACAAAGTTGCCAGCCCTCCATTGTCCCCAAAATTCAGTCAAAAAGACTGAACAAATGCACTTGTTCGAGCTTTCTTTGACAGTGTCTTTAGTGCTCAGCACGTTGTAGATATCGAGTAAATGAATAAAGAACTGTGAGGTCAAGTGAAACTGAGTAGATCTTTCTCATTGGAAGAGCATTCTCATCACCGAGCTTCTTAAAGGAATTTTTATAATCACCTTAGAATTCTGACAGCAGTTACTTTTTGCATTCACTTTGTTGCTACTGCTTAACTATGAGATTAAAAACCATGCGTGGACCATGATTGTGAAGTATTATGGAACTATGTTTTTAGTTTTAAACCGATGAACTGAAGTGATTAAGAGCAGATATCTTATATGACGTTTAAGGATTGCTTTGTTATGTTTAGTATCAGGTTATGCTGTAGACTCTTATATAACTATGTGATTATTTTTATTGTGTTAATTAACTCTAACTTGAGATCACCTATATCATTAAAGATCTAAAAACGGTACTGATGTTCACTGCTTTGAGACAGAAAGCCCAGGAGTACTACCAGGAAAACACAATGTATCCACAGTTAGTGATCACACATTGATTACTTTCAGTTTATTCTAGATAGATCTGTAGCGAAACCTCTCATTTTGTAATACTAAAAGACAAAATGAAAGTAACCTTGACAGGATGGGTGTTTATGTCATTGCAGTTGTGTAACAGGTGCTCAGTTTGGTATATGTAAGACTGTTAACAGTCAGGGACAGCACTTTATCGAATAACCTCATCTGATGTGAAGTCAGTGTCAATACTTAAAGCACAATGTTTGAAGCAATTTAGTGAGTATTCAGCCTTTTTAGAGGTCAACAGTGATAGCGATCTATGTATTCTATGCTGTTTCACCACTCACAAGCCTTCTTATCATCTCTTCTTGTTGTTGAGATTTATTTTGAAGTTTTTCAAACCTTCAGTCTCACCCAAGAGTTCTCATTTACCAATTTGATGAACACAGTTAAGCACTCCAATACTTTTACTAAAGCATGATTTTCAAACATTTGTTGTATTTACCTAAAGGGTAACAAAAAAGCTATCATCAAAAATTGTGACAAAATTACTAGTGAAATCTAAAGTTCTGCAGCACAGATAAATTTCAAAGCCTACACAGAGGGCTGCCAAGTACAGCATTGTCACAAATCAGAGATCTGAGTAGGTGGAGTTTAGACATAGGAAGCTGTGAGGTAGGACTCTCAGGAAGGAAAAAGTACTTTCTTTTATAAATGAAGATAAAATTGCTGAAATAGTCTTACTACTGTTTGTTCGTTTGCTACTTGTGTTTTCAGATCTGACTTTTTAAAGAAACAAGGCATTTTGGTAGTACTTACCCTGTATCTCACTTACTGACAGACACTGTATCTGTTTAATTCAGCAGAAGAGCAACTTAGATATTCTTAACTGATTCAAAACTGCTATTACTGCAAAATGCTGATCTCCAGACTTTAACGTTTGACTCTGCATTTGACGTTGTGCTAATGCTCTAGGTCATTTGAGAGTCCGTGTGTATGTTACTCTCATTTTATTGGTATATATAATTTAAAATGAAACTCTTTTCTCTTTCAGTGCATTTGAAACGCCACTTTATGTTTCGAAACCATCTCTGTTTAGTTTTTGAAATGCTGTCCTACAACCTCTATGATTTGTTGAGAAACACCAATTTCCGAGGGGTCTCTTTGAATCTAACACGAAAGTTTGCGCAGCAGATGTGCACTGCACTGCTTTTCCTTGCGACTCCAGAACTTAGTATCATTCACTGTGACCTAAAACCTGAAAATATCCTTCTTTGTAACCCCAAACGCAGTGCAATCAAGATCGTTGACTTTGGCAGTTCTTGTCAATTGGGGCAGAGGGTAAGTATTATTTCAGAACCTGTGAATTAAATAGAAGTAAGTAGAACAGTGTAGGTATTAGGTTGGTGCAAAAGTAATTGTGGTTTGTGCCATTACTTTTAATGGCATTACTTTTTAAATGGAAAAAACCGAAATTATTTTTGCTCCTACCTAATAGATATTTGAAATGTTAATGAGGTGTATACCATTTAGAGACAATTACAGGATGGTTATTTATCTTTAAAATGTAGCAGTTAATTATGTTGATACCTGTTTTGGAGAAATACCTTTTAAAATGCAAATAGCAATACTTTGACTCAAAAGACATTGATTTTTTTTGAAATAGGTATATTTAAAATAATTATGTATTTAAAATATGTATGCTAAAAGATGAAGGGAAGAGAATAGGACATGGAATGATTAAATATTAGGGGATTTGTAACTTTCCCAAGTAAAGGTTTTAGTGTAAGTTTTGGGACTTTTCAGTACTGGAACATTGAATCCTTGCTGTAAAATATTTCTCTAAAGATTTATCAAGATAAATCTTTTTCCTCAAAAACTGATGGTTCAGAAAAATGCAGGTAATTTTGATTAGTCATGCTACTAAAGCACAGAAAATTTAGTTGATAGACTTGTTTTGATAAATAAATTTGTCTTATTTTCTCCACTATTAAAAATTTACATAAATTCTACCACATCTAAAGTGATTTTTTTTAGACTGCTAGAAACAGATGTATTCGTAGCGATGATAGTATGTTTAGCTGATTTAGGAAAGCAGTTTTTCCTATCATTCTTAACAGCAGTATGAAAACTACTCTAACAGTATTGTTTCATATATCAAATAGAAGTTACAGGTGTCTCCTCTTTAAAGGGATTGCTACCATCATTTGATAATATTTTACTGATTTTTAACACTGTTCCTTTTGCTTGAAAGTGTTGAAACTATATTTCTTTTGTTTTAAAGGAAAACCCAACTAACATACAGATGTTAATTTTTTATAGTGACTTTTCTGTTTCTTATTTTTCCAAATTATTGAAATTTTCTGTACTGTCCTACTTTTGTCCAAGTTTTAACTGTAACATTAATTTAATCTGTTTAGCCAGTAGGACTGTCTTTTTGTTACTTTCTGCAGCTTCTCTTATGGTGGTGATGCTATTGACTGTTGAAGTAATTTTTAAAAATTGGAGTAGGAAGCAAAGTTTGCAGTTTTAGATGCCTTCAAAAAATCAAGAGATGCTTGTAGTTAATATGGGATAGCGTATATTGTGAATGAAAAATGCCCATCTTGCGAGTAATTTGAATAGATTTTAGAGTTGGGGCATTTTCCCCCTATTTAAGCCAAATTGTATATTTTGTCCTAATATTAAACATTATTATTTCTGTCTAGTCAAAATGAGCCAGTTATCCCTATAATAAATTTTCAACTATTCAGATTCATTGGAATCACATGGGAAGTTATGTCTAAAATAGGCATGCAGTGGCCCCACCTGTGGATCTACTGGATTAGAATCAGAAGGTGGTAGGGCCAGTGTGTTTTGGAATCTAACTGCTTTAAACAAGTTAGATAGGGATGTGACAGAGTTTTTGGCATAAGCTGTGAAATACAAGTCTCAGGAGTGGTGGTGAGTCTTTGGGCCTAGGGAATAGCAATGGTTATTGGCTTATAAAAAACTCAGAAGTGTAGTACCTCTTCCCAGTTCTTTAAGTTAGACTTTCTTCTTACAGTTCCTAAAGGTTGATTGACCTGCCTGTGTAGGCCTGAGATTGTTCTTGATGACTTGGCTGGAGGTTTCAGTGGGAGCCACAGAAAACTTCATGAGCTTTCTGGCTGCATGGTTAGGGTATAAGTTAGGAAATTTCATTAGGAGGATTTTATTTCTTTCTCCCTTTTGATAAGTGAAACAAATTGGTCTCTGAAGACGTCCTTGCATTACTTCATTGAAAATAGTCCATTTCAGGATTGTCTTTCTCTAAGAAGTCTTGGATGGAGGTGGAGAGAGAGGAAGCTATTGATCAGAGACAGCTGTTACTTGAATCTTTATGTGGCATTGTCTCTGGAATTTATCTGCGAGACAGCAGAGTACAAATGTCTGATTTTTAAATTACATCATATTAAAGTTACTTGACTTTTAACGCTGACAAATACATTGTTTAGGTTAATTTAAATACAGTCTAGTTGTTAAGTTAGTGGTAAGCCAAGTGCCGGCCATTGCAGGAAAGAATAATTCTTAGGGAAATAAATTACTTTCAATAGTGCTTTTTTCTGGTGAGGCATAATTGTTTTAATAACTATCATGATGACCAGTTAGGATTAGACTAAACAAAAGGACTTGAATTTTTATGCATTTCACAGTTAAATTAACCAATCCCTCCAAATGTTTAGTTCTTTAAGCCATATTCATAGTCTATCTAATGTTGAAATTAGTCAATGGAACCCTAATTCAGGAGCTAGCCACTTCTTTTCTGTTAATATCAGATTAATGTTTTAAATCCAGTGCTCACCACAGTTTTAAGCAATTGAAGTAATACTATTTTGAAATGTATTTCAGATATACCAGTATATTCAGAGTCGCTTTTACCGGTCTCCAGAGGTGCTACTGGGAATGCCTTATGACCTTGCCATTGACATGTGGTCCCTCGGGTGTATTTTGGTTGAAATGCACACTGGAGAACCTCTGTTCAGTGGTGCCAATGAGGTAAATGATGCATTGCTTTACGAATTCTGTTTTCATAATTCCTTTTTGTCTTTCATCGATGACAATGTAAAAGTTGTTTTTAGGCAGAGATGAAGTGTGAGGTCAGTTTTGAATATACCTGTTTTTTCATATTTGTCAGTGGTCATATACTAAGTTTAGAATTATGAGATAGGAAATGTAGGATATTTTAATCTGCTCATGAAGGAGAACAGTTCATTAGAAAATGTTAAGTATTTTGGCATAAATTTTACAGGTTTTAAATACAATAACAGAAAGCTTAAAAATGATGATAAAGAAATGAAGGCCATCCTGAAGAGTGATAGAAACATCACTCTAAATTTTTAGATTGTAATTTGGAGTTGAAGAGGTAATGATCAGTAGGATTGATGGATACTGAGTCTGAATAATTTAGAGTAAACTAGATGATGGAATAGTAGGGCTATGGAGACTGTGTGCAGTTTGTAGTCTGGTTCTGGGAGATTTTTGAAGGTCAGAGGCAGTGAGGGGGTGGACAGGGACAGGTCACACTTCTCTGCAGTCAGATAAATTGGGCTTTCATTGTTCTTAAACTATTCACCTGTGGGGTGTTTGTTTTTAAAACAAAAATTGACCATTGCAGATCTTGATCAGTCTATTTATTTATAAATGAGAAGAGAAAGGCCAAAGACATTAAGGACTTGTGCCAGATGATGCAGCTGTTAATATGTGGTGTCAGAAACTTCTCTTCCGTCCTTCCTTTTAATTCTTTTTTTTTTTTTTTTGGCGGGGGGGGGGGGGGGGGGAGACAGAGTCTTGCTCAGTTGTCCAGGCTGAAGTACAGTGGCTTGATCTTGGCTCATTGCAACCTCAGCTGCCCAGGTTCAGACAATTCTCGTACCTCAGCCTCCTGAGTAGCTGGAATTACAGGCAAGCACCACCATGCCCGGCTAATTTTTGTATTTTTACTAGAGATGATGGTTCACCATGTTGGCCAGGCTGGTTTCGAACTCCTGATCTCAAGTGGTCCACCCGCTTCAGCCTCCCAAAGTGCTGAGATTACAGGCATGAGCCACTGCTCCCAGCTCCTTTTAATTCATTTCAACTTCAGCTGGTGAGCTGCCCTTTGATAGTAACTGCCATAGTTTGTTTTTGTCTTAGTATAAATCTTACTGTGTAAATTAGTATCTTTCTTGGGCTTAAACAATATTAAAAAACCTCAATGGTTTCCCATGATACTCATTGTAAAAGCCGAGGTCCTTTGAGTAGCTCACAAGTTCTTACTCCCTCTGATGCCAATTCTTTCACCAACACCTGGTCTCTCCTTCTCCCCTCACTCTGTGGTCCCTGGCAAATGCCAGCCATAGGCCCTTTGCATTTCTTCTTTCCTGTGCCTAAAATGCTGTCTTCTGAGATAGCACTTGGTTCCTTCCCTTGCTGATGTTAGTGTTTGCTCTGATGACAGCCTCTCAGTGAAACCATATACCCCACTTATGGTTGCAGTCCCCCTTATCCCCATCCCATAGTTCTTAGTCAGCATCTGACATCATGTATTTAAGTATTTATTGATACCGCCGGCTATGGTGGCTCACACCTGTAATCTGAGCACATTGGGAGGCCAAGGCAGGCAGATCACTTGAGGTTAGGAGTTTGAGACCAGCTTGGCCAACAAGCTGAAACCCCATCTCTACTAAAAATAGAAAAATTAGCCCAGGATGGTGTCATGTGCCTGTAGTCCCGGTTACTTGGGATGCTGAGGCAGGAGAATTGCTTGAACCCAGGAGGCTGAGATTGCAGTGAGCCAAGATCGCGCCACTGGACTCCAGCCTGGGAGACAGAGCCAGACTCCGTCTAAAAAAAAATTAAAAATATTTATTGTTGCTCTCTTCCCACTATAACATAAAAAACTTTTTGGCAGGGGTTTTTGTTTTGCTTATTGTATTCTACCACTGATCATGGTTCCTAGCATGTAATAGGCACACTCAGTTTGAGTGAATGAGTCTGTACTTTAAGAAAGAATACTTACTAGGTCCATACTCTGTTAGGCCTCTGGGATTTTTGGTTTTTAGTGGTTATTTAACATTCTCTGAAAACTGGGCTGGGCGCCGTAACTCAACGCCTGTAATCGCAGCACTTTGGGAGGTTGAAGTAGGAGAGGATTGCTTGACCCAGAGTTTGAAACCAGCACAGGCAACATGGTAAAACTCCATCTCCACAAAAAGATTTCTAAATTAGCCAGGCGTGGGGCCGGGTGTAGTGGCTCATGGCAGTAATCCCAGCTCTTTGGGAGGCCGAGGTGGGCAGACCATTTGAGGTCGAAAGTTCAAGACCAGTCTGACCAACGTGGTGAAAACCTGTCTTGACTAAAAAGTCTGCCTGTAGTCCCAGCTATTTGGGAGGCCGAGGCAGGAGAATAACTTGTACCCAGCAGTCAGAGGTTGCAGTGAGCTGAAATTGCACCAGTGCACTTCAGCCTGGGCAATAGTGCAAGACTCCATCTTAAAAAAAATATATAGCTGGGTGTGATGTTGCATGCCTGTATTCCTTTCTACTCTGGAGGCTAAGGTGGGAGTATCACTTGAGCCTGAGAGGTCGCGGCTGAAGTGAGCTGTGATTGCACCACTGCCCTCTAGCCTGAGTAACAGAGCGAGACTGTCTCAAAAATAAGTAAAGAAAAAAATTTTATAAAATAATATTCTACAAAAACGGAAACTTTAAAACTTCCTCTCATCTTTCCTTACTGTTCAACATTGTATCCATGACTACCTGACAATGTGTCTGTTAATTGACTGTCTTCCCTTCTGTGGGGTATTTGGCTCAAGGAAGGTAGGGCCTTTCTTGTTTGTTCCTTACTGTATGCTTGATGTCTGGAGGAGTTCCTGACACATAGGCCACGTGCAATTTATTTATGAATCAGTGAGTGATGTGTGACTTGATGAGCAGGAGTAGATGTACAATAGAAATGACAGATTTTATTGTTTTTATTTTTAATACAGGTAGATCAGATGAATAAAATAGTGGAAGTTCTGGGTATTCCACCTGCTCATATTCTCGACCAAGCACCAAAAGCAAGAAAGTTCTTTGAGAAGTTGCCAGATGGCTCTTGGAACTTAAAGAAGACCAAAGATGGAAAACGGGTAAAATAAGGATATATGGGTTTTGAACCTTTATTAAATTTCTTTACCATACCTGTCTTTTTATAGCTCATTTTGCTTTACTTGAAACCAGTGTGTTTCAGTTAACAATTTTATTGATAACTGAGGTAGATACTTTGTTCCGAAGTTGAATGTAGTTATCAGGTATGGACCAGTGTTTGATTAATGGTCAGAGTTATCTTTAAAACTGTATTCCTGCATTTTGAGGCAGCTGACCACATCACCACATTTGGTTTCAGCAGGAGAGTTCGTAAGTTTGGCCTTGTGTTATCTTACATCTTGGGCATGTAGTGATGTCAGAGTTAATTACTTCAGCTGTGAACAGAAGTCACGGTTGCAGTAAATGATTTTTTTTTAAAGTTCAATTGGTAAAATACGTGAGAAGTTGATTTTTGGCTTAAGTAGTATGTGATTTTTTTTTTTTCAGGGATATTAACTGACTATATGGTCCATTGATAGAGTCACATTCCTAGCTCAGTTACTTAGATAGCAGAAATTTCACATCTCTGAAATCTTTAAAAGTGAGGTTTTTATAACATTAGGTTTGTTTTAGTAATTTTCTTTTATCTGAGGACTTTGTTTAAAGATACCTAAACTATGCCATTTAATAGAGTAATTGAGGCTAATTTTGCATCTTGATTTTTACTTTTGTTTTATAGATCTGTAAATAATCATATGCTTTGTAATTTAGTTTGGTCCTAGTATTGAATGAATATAATGTATAAATATGTGATTGAATATGACCTCCCCCCGCACATACACATTCCGAAGTCACCTTGTGATTGTAGTTTTGCATTTTATAACGTTTAAGAGTTTATTTTTGCCTCAGTTATTTTGCCCTTGCATTTTAGCGATGCTGCCACCAGGTGTCATTTTCAGTGAACTGAAGATGATGGTTGATTGCCTTAATTCACCTCCACATAGCTATGGAGTCATAACTTTTAATATTAAATGATTTTCTTTAGAATATTTAAAAACACACATATAATTGTATCTTTCAAAACTGATTTGTAAGTTATTGCATTCTGCCATATTCTCTAAAGCTATAGGCAGTACAGTTTCCAGCTGCTAAATTATGCCTACTCCCCATGAGGAAAGGACGGAAAATGCCATTGCGACCTCCTGGGCCCTTGTTTTTCCTTTATCCACATAGCTCATTAATCATGGCCCATTTTCTGTGTAACCAAAACTTAGCCTGGGAATCCTTACTAGCTTCACCAGCAATCAGAGGAGTTCCTACCAGTTTGAATTAGCATGGAGAGGAAATTAAATCTCTTTTATGTTGTTTCTCTCTGTGATACAGGCTGCTGCTTTCTCCATTTCAGATTTATTTATTTATATTTTGCTTCTGCTATTTTTTTTCCTCAGTAAAACATCCCATTCCATCTCCTATATCTCTGCCTCATAAAACCACAGTGATGTATCATTTCTTTCAAATTGATCTATAGATATTATTGTTTTTAGTTATTTGGAGTGGGGGCATTTCAGAAATGAGTAGATTGTCTTTTCCCTTTTAAAATTGGAAATGGGTATCTTAATGCACATTTACATGTGAATTGACAATAGATTTTAATGAGATTCTTTTACACTGGGCTATTGACTTAAGCAACTGAATTTTTAAAAATAGGAAATATTTATTTATTTATTTATTTTTGAGACAGAGTCTCGCTCTGTCCTCCAGGCTGGAGTGCAATGGTGCAGTCTTGGCTCACTGCAACCTCCACCTCCTGGGTTCAAGCGATTCTCTTGTTTCAGCCTCCCAAGTAGTTGGGAAGGTGCGCACCACCATGCCCAGCTAATTTTTGTATCTGTGGTTTTTTTATTAGAGATGGGATTTCACCATGTTGGTCTCAATCTCTTGACCTCATGATCCGCCTGCCTCCCAAAGTGCTGGGATTACAGGCGTGAGCCACTGTGCCTGGCGTATTTTGCTTTTAAGAGAGAAATTCTGTAACAAAATCAAATAATTGCATTACAAAGGATACACTAGGAATTTTAACCAGAGATATAAATAGATGTGCATATACTTCATTGGCTGTCTTTGTGGTTTGTTTAATGATTTTATTTTTACTTTTAATTTCTCATTTTACATTTCAAAAGCTCTATATTACGGTTTTCCAGTAATGAGATCAATGCTTACTATGTATTATTTTCTTGGTAGAGGTGGAGAATGAAGAAGTAAGACAATAAATGATGCTGTTTTTTGAAGTATAATTTGTGTATTGTAAGATGCACATTGTTAGTGTTGAGCGTGTTTTCACCTTTGTATACAACATTGTCCTTCCTGTCCAAACCAGTATGAAAGATTTCGATCTCAAATCCTCTTGAGACCCTTTTCTGTTATCCTGCTGCTTCCTGATTTCTGTCTTCAAAGATTAGCTTTGTCTGTTCATTGGCAAACTTTGTATAAATGGAGCCATTATAGTATTTATTGTTTAGTTTTGGTTTTTCTTCATTCAACAAATATATTGTTTTTGGAAATTCATCAGTATTGTTGTGTGTCTCAGGAATTGATTTCATTTTATTGCTTCAAGATATTTCAGTGAATGAACATATCATAATTTATATTCACTTGTAAGTGGTCCTTTGGTTTGTTCCCAATTTGGGACTATTATGAATAAGGCTACTGTGACAGCACAGTCTCAAGAGTAGAATTGCCAGGTTAGGGGGTATATGTTTACCTTCACAAGAAAAACCACCAGTTACCCAGAGTTGTTTTACCATTTGATATTCTCACGATGCATGAGGGTTTCAGTTGGATGACGTCCTCACCATTCCATACGGTTTGTCTGCTGGATTTTAGCCATTCTGTAGTTGATATGACGTGGTTTGATTTGCATTTCTTCAGGCAATGCAATGATACAGACCACCTTTTCATATGCTTATTAGCCTTTCATATATATCTTCTCTGGGTTGTTTAATGATCTAGTGGTCCTTTGTCATTACGTTTTTTGTCACATATATGTTAGTGTATTTCCCTAGACTGTGGCTTGCCTGTTTCTTTCTTAATGTGGTATCTTTTGATGAATAGTGAGTTTTAATATTGTTGAAGTTGTATTTGTCAACTTTTTCTTTTGGTGTTTTTTCCTATTCTAAAAAATCTTTGCCATCTTCAAGTTTGTGAAGATACTCTTCTTTGTTTTCTTCTAAAAGCTTTTTAAATTTTATTCTGCCTTTTACACTTAGGATTCCATGGTCTGTCTTGAATTATTTTTTGAGTATGGAACAGGGTGAAGGGGTTGAAGTTCATTTTCTTCCCTTTGCTTACCTAGTAGTTACAACAGCATTTGCTGAAAGCAATTGCTTTTCCCTCTTGATATGTTTTCTGTTCTAGGTCCTTTCTATTCACATATGAATTTTAGAATCAACTTGTAAATTTCTACCAAAAAATAATGCTAGCATTTTGATTTGGGTTGGGGTTTCATTTAGGAAAATGGACATCTTAACAAAATTAAGTCTTCCACTCTATAAAGATGGGTTATCTCTCCATTTATTTAGAACTTAAAATCTCTCAGTAGTGTTTTACAGTTTTTAATGCAGAAGTCTCACATATTTTGTTCACTTTATCCCTAAGTTTTAAATTTTTTAGATGTTCTTTTAGATGACATTTAAAATGTATAATTTCCTAATTTTTCATTTCTGGTATATAGAAATACAACTGATTTTTGTGCATGATTTTTGTATCCTAAGACCTTGCTAAATTTACCTAACAGTTGACCTTTGAACAATAAAGGTTTGAAGTGCATATGTTCACTTGTGTGCAAATTTTTTTCAACAAATACAGTCAGCCCTCTGTAATCAAAAATACAGTATTCCCTGGATGTGAAACATGTATATGCGGGCCAACTTGTCACGTATGTGGATTCTGCACGGCCTCCTTGTGGAACTTGAGTATATGTGGATTTTAGTATATTTGGGGGAGGGGCAGTGTCTTGGAACCAATCCCTGCGTATACTGAGGGATGACTGTATTTTTGTTGTTGAAATTTGATAGGACTTTCTACTTAAGCAATCTTAATACTCCATGAATAAAGACAGTTCTGTATTTTCAGTTGTATGTCTTTTTTGCTTTTTTAATACCATGAATGGGTTTTGAATATTGTTACGGTTTTTCTGCATCTGTAGGGATCATCATATGATTTTTCTCCAGTTTTGTGGTTAAATACATTAATTGTTTGACTGTTAAGCCCCCCGGCCCTATCAAGTCCCTTATGTATATTGCTCAGTTCAATTTGCTAATCTCTTGGTCACGAATTTTGTTTCTATATCATTAGTGGATATTTGTCTAAAATTTTATTAATAATACCATCATTAGGATTTAATTTTAGGATTATGCTCGACTTGTGAAACTATTAGGAAATATTCTTTCTTGATTTTCTAAAAAAAAAAAAAAAAGTATATAATTACTTCTTTTGTAATGTTTAGTAGAGTTCAGTGACGAAATCATTAGAACCTAGGGCATTTCTTGTTAGAAGGTTATTGTAATTTATGTTTTTTGATAAAAATAGGGTTATCTAGATTTTTAAAATTAGTTTTGGTAAGCTGTATTTATCCAGAAACTTTTTTCACTTAAATTGTTGAATTTGTTGGCATAAAATTATCAATAATATTTTATTATATTTTTAATAGTTAGAGATCTGTAGTGATAGTCTCTCTTTTATTCCTGATACTGGTCATTTATACTTTGTTTTTTCCCCCAACTAGTCTTGCTCAGGGTTGATAAGTTTATTAATCTTTTCAGACAACCAGATTTTGACTTTGTTGATTTTCTTTTTATTTCTATTCTTGTTCTAGTTTCTATTCTGTTTTTTACTCTTCACTATGTCCATTTACTTGGGTTGAATTTCCTCCTTTTCTAGCTTCTTTTAAGGGTGGAAACTTAGATCATTGATTTTTAAGCCTCTTTGCTACTATAGAATTTAGTGGTATAAATTTTCCTCTAAGCGCTGCTTTAGCTGCATTCTGCAGCTAGCTAGCTAGCTATTTTTTTTTTAGAGACAGAGTAAGTCTCATTCTGTCACCAGGCTGGAGTGCAGTTGTGTGATCTCGGCTCACTGCAACCTCCATCTCCTGGGTTCAAGTGATTCTCCTGCCTCAGCCTCCCAAGTAGCTGGGACTGCAGGTGTGCACTACCATGTCCAGGTAATTTTTGTATTTTTAGTAGAGACAGGGTTTCACCATGTTGTCCAGGATGGTCTTGATCTCTTGACCTTGTGATCCACCCGCCTCCGCCTCCCAAAGTGCTGGGATTACAGGCTTGAGCCACCGCACTGGAGCGCTTTTGTATGTTTTAACAGTTATTCTGAAATGTTTTTAACTTGTGATTTCTTCTTTAAGCTGTCATTATTTAGAATTTTCTTACATAATTTCAAAATATTTGAGGGTTTTCTAGGTATCTTACTGATTTCTAGTTTAGTAGCAGTTTGGACACAGAATGTGATTTCAGTCCTTTAAAATTGCGACTTGTTTTATGGCTTAGTATCTCATGTATCTTGGTGAATGTTTTATGTGCACTTGATAAGAACTGTATTTTGTGTTTGTTTGGTGTAGTGGTCTCCAACTATCAATGTAGATCAAATTGTTTGATATTTTCTTTATATATTTTATATCTCTCTCTGTGTGTGTGTGGTGTGTATGTGGTGTGTATGTGTGTGTGTCTGTATATTCTGTCAGTAACTGAGAGAGAGGAGTTTTCATTGATTTGTCTTAGACTCCCTTTATAACATTGCTTTTTGTTTTTTGAAGCTTTGTTAATAAGTGTATGCGTGTTTAGTATTGTTATGACTTCTTAATAAATTGACCCTTTTATCATCCTGAAATGTCTCTCTTTGTCTCCAATGATGTTTATCTTTAAGTCTGCTTTGTCTGATATTACTGTAGTGTCACTAGTGTTCTTATTCTTGATATTTTCATGGTGTGTGTGTGTGTGTGTGTGTATGTATGTATAGATAGAAAAGATGTATATGTATAGATACATTGGAAGAAAAATACCCAACATGTGTACACACAGACGCGCGCGCGCGCGCACACACACACACACACACACACTCTCACACTCTCTCTCTCTCTCTCTCTTTTAAACCTGTGCATACCTTTATATGTAAAGAATTTTTTTTGAGACAGTCTTGTTCTGTCACCCAGGCTGGAGTGCAGTGGCACAATCTCGGCTTCCTGCAACCTCTGCCCCTACTTCAAGTGGTTCTCCTGCCTCAGCCTCCTGAGTAACTGGGTTACAGGCACGTGCCACCGCTCCTGGCTAACATTTGTATTTTTAGTAGAAATGGGGTTTCACCATATTGGTTAGGCTGGTCTTGAACTGACCTTGTCATCTGCCCACCTCAGCCTCTCAAAGTGCTGGGATTACAGAAGTGAGCCACCACACCCGGCCAGAATGATTTTTTATGTTGTGTGCAACATATGGTCAGGTCGTTTTTTAATCTATTCTGTTAGTATTTAGCTTATTATTCAGAGTTCTGAGTTTCATACTGTTGTCTTATTTGTGTTCTGTCTTTCCTATTCTTTGCTTCCTATTTCTTCTGTCTTTTTGAAGGGAGGTTTATTGAATACATTTTGACATTTTATTTCATCTTCTGTATTGATTTTTTTGCTTACTTCTCTGTGTCATGTTTGTGTTCCTTTTATAATATGCACCTTTAACATAGTTCACCTTCAGATAATAATATATTGCTTGTTAAACAGCATGATAACCATTGTGATTCTATATAACCCACTTCTACTTCTTGTGCATTTGTTATCATATTACTTTTGCATGTTATAACATCACAAATTAATGGCTGTTTAAATAAAAAATAGATGTTTAAGGAAATTTTAAAGCACATATAAAATAAGGATAATATAACATTTATATTTATGCTCATATTTGCCCTTTTCTCATGTTCTTTCTTTTTGCAGATTCTAGCTTCCATCTGGTATCATTTCTTCAGCCTTAAGACTGTATTTAACTTTTATTTTATAATGAATAAGTTATCATGATGAATTCTCTCAGTAGCTGTGGAGCTGAAAATATTTGTTTACCTTTATTTTTTGGAAGATATTTCCAGTGCATATAGAATTACAGATTAACTTTTTTCTTTCAGCAAAGGAAAAAGATGTTATGACATTGCTTAAAGATGTATTGACTTTTTTTTCTGGATTACACTGTTTCTGAAGAGAAGTCTGGTTATTTTTAACATTGTTTTCCTGCATATACTATTTTTTTTTTTTTGCCCTCTGGCTGATTTTAATATTTTCTCTTTGTTTGATCTCTAGCAGTTTGACTATTTACCTGTGTATGAGTTTCTTTGTATGTATTCTACTGGGAGTTCACTGAGTTTCTTGGATCTGTGGGTTGATTTCTTTCATCAGTTTTTGAAAGTCCTCAGGCATAGTCTTTCCAAATATTTGTTCTGCTTTCATCTTTCTTCTAGTTGTCTAGTGATATGTATGTTATAGTGTTGAATATTATCCCAGAGGTCTCTGTCTGGTTTATTCATTCTGTTTTCAGTTTGTGTTTTTAATGGGATAATTTCTTTTTCTATCTTCTGGTCCACTGATTTTGTTGTTCTTGCCGTCATTGCTTCGTGCTGAGTTCAGTCTGCTGTTGAATCCATTAAATGGATTCTTAGGATGTTACTGTTGTTTTCGAGACAGGATCTCACTCTGTCGCCCAGGCTCGAGTATAGTGGTATGATCATGGCTCATTGCAGCCTTGACTTCCTGGGCTCAAGCAGTTCTTCCACTTCAGCCTCCCAAATTGCTGGGACTACAGGAGTGTGCCACTACGATACCCAGCTATTAAAAGTTTTTGTAGATATGGGGTCTCGCTATATTGCCTAGGCTGGTCTTGAACTCCTGAGCTCAAGCAGTCCTCCCACCTTAACCTGGGTATATAGACATGAGCCCACCCTATATTTTTTAGTTCTAGCATTTCTATTATATTTAAATACATTTTTCTCCTTTGAAATTCTCTACAATTTGTTTGTATATTATCCACCTTTTGAACTAAATTGTTTATCATAATTTGTAAAAAGTAAGTATCATAATTGTTTTAAAATGCTAGTCTGCTACTTTCAACACCTGCACCATTTATGTATATGTATTTTCTCTTGGCTTTTTGTTTTCCTTTTCATGTGATCGTGGACATCATTTTGTAAAAAATGTAATTTTTAAATGTGTGCTTAACTTGCTGTGCTTAAGAACAGTTAAAGATGGAAGTGGATCATATTTCCCCCCAGAAAGAGGCCTATTATTCTGTCAGGCCCCTCCTGTCGGGCTGAGTTGATCACTTTTGTAGCTTCACTGACTCTGGGCTTTGCTTGTTTGACTTAGATTCTATTCACTGTTGTCTTCATATGTTTTGAGCTGGGATCAAGACATTGCCTTTAGCAGTGTTTGTATCTTTAGAACCAGAGAAAATCTAGAGGTCTCTATACATTACTGCCCAGCCAGCAGCCCCACTCCTAACTCTCTGTGCCTGGGAGATCGTCTTCCTCCTGCTGCACTCCCCCATCCTTCTGTCTGTCCACACGTGGCCGTCAGAAGTTGGTTCAGACTTGGGCTGGAGTCTTCTCGCTCATCGGTGGCATGCCTACTCCTTCTCCCACTGTAGGTCTCTTCCTGGAGAGGCTTTTCATTTTGTAGAATTCAGGGGATTCTTGTTCCAACTCTGGATCCTGGGACAGCTCTCTGATTGGTCTTTAAAAGGCAGTGATTTTATGACTTCCCTGGCTTGTTTTTGCTTTTAAGAGAAAACAGTCGTCTCACGTATTTCTGCATTTTAACTAGAAGCCAAAGTCTGGTGCTGCTATTCTTAATAAATTCAATATTTATAGAGTTTTTAAGGATTATACTATTATATATACAAAAATGAGTTTTCAGGAAATCTCAGCACATGTTATTTTGTTATTACATAGAATTTTCTGAAGGGGAGCATATATAAAGTTCTCTTTATCTACTGTGAGTAGGTAGGGTTAGGCCAGTGCCTTTTTATGTAGAATGTCCTTGGTGTGATTGCCATAGCTTGCTTTCTTGGGCTAACTGTTGCTAAAGGAAGTAGCAGGTGCTGAGGGTGCCCAGTTAGGCAGGGCTGGGCAGGGGCATGTGTGTTCTCTATAAAGGACGAGAGAAAATGCTTTCTTCCTTGTGGGTCTCTGTTGCATATTCTTTGTTTTTGTTTACTTGCTTGCTTGTTTTTACAGCCTTTGAAAACAGAAAAACTCTTTGTAGCTAGAACTGTGCAAAACCAGGCTCTGTATCAGGCCATAGTTTACTGACCCCTGGGCTGGATGATCTTTATCTTACCATTTTTGGTCTCAGAATTATGTTGAACTGTAACTAACTGTGCATTTGGTTTAGTAATGTGTGAAAAGGCAGAGGATTTAACTCTGATGGGTCCTTGTTAATAAAGGCCTCAACATATATATTTAAACATATTTGAAGTTAGATTTTGTGTTTACATATTCCACCAAATTAAGAGAAAGCCTTTTATTTTCTCTCACAGGAGTACAAACCACCAGGATCCCGTAAACTTCATAATATTCTTGGAGTAGAAACAGGAGGACCTGGTGGGCGGCGTGCTGGGGAGTCAGGTCATACGGTCGCTGACTACTTGAAGTTCAAAGACCTCATTTTAAGGATGCTTGATTATGACCCCAAAACACGAATTCAACCTTACTATGCTCTGCAGCACAGTTTCTTCAAGAAAACAGCTGACGAAGGTACAAATACAAGTAATAGTGTGTCTACAAGTCCCGCCATGGAGCAGTCCCAGTCTTCGGGCACCACCTCCAGCACATCGTCAAGCTCAGGTCAGTGAGACTCTGGTTAGATTAGGCTTGGGAATGTTTTGTGTTTTCTTTATAAAGTGGGATTATTTAAAAGTGTTTATTAAATTTTTTAATAGGATAGGGAGCAGTTACTTTACTTAAATCTGTTCTTTTATAGTTAATAGTAAATTCATCTCCCCCAAAGCGCCAGTATTCAGTTAAGATGTAATAAATTCTGCTTGGCAGTTGGATATCTATTTATTAACCAGCATTTTAAATTACTTCTTAAATGGAATTTTTTGCTTACATTGCTTGAGTTTTCCCCTACCTTAACCAGACTTCATTGTATTTTAGTTCAGTGATGGAGGAGAGAGAACCTGGTTTTAGTCAAAGAATGTAAAGACTTCATGATACACTTTCAAGTTAATATTGGAGATTTTGTATGTGTTTTGAATACTTTCAATATATAATGATATAGCTTTGGAGTATACATTTGAACAAAATGAATTTTAAACTCACACTTGTATTATTTTGTGTTGTGATGTTTCAGGTGGCTCATCGGGGACGAGCAACAGTGGGAGAGCCCGGTCAGATCCGACGCACCAGCATCGGCACAGCGGCGGGCACTTCACAGCTGCTGTGCAGGCCATGGACTGCGAGACACACAGTCCCCAGGTGAGCTCGCACGTGGTTCATTTGCTTGTGTCACCTGCCGTGCTCAGGTGGAGCAGCACTGGATGCCAGGTGCCTTTAGAATGACTGTTTCATTTACCCTAAAGGTTCATGACAGTCTCATGTCTAAGGAAATGTCAGTATTTATCACAGAGAAGCACATTGGTGCAGTTCTCTTCCTCTTTGTCTAGAAGTGGCTAACCCTCACTGGGGGCATAGCAGTTGTTTCGAACAGTTTTTCCTTTGTTTATCTCACTTACCAAAGCAGCATTTTGAGCCTCATGCTTTTTTGATTCCCATTTTACAGTGGAAACTGAGATGTTGTGGGTGGAGTACATTTTCGTGGGTCATGATCTTCATGACTCGACTCTGCTTCCTCCCATGATTTTTTAGCATGTGTAGCCCTGGATTCTGAATCAATTTCTGGTTTGATGTTAGCCCCTGTTTCTTGTTGTTGTTTTTTGTTTTTAAACCTGTTGAAGAAGAGGATCCAATTAAGTACTCTGAAAATCTGAGTGAAGCAGATGGTGATGGCACAAATATTTCTATAACCTAATAAAGTTGTAAGTTTGTTCATGCTGAGTTTTGCTTGATGGTGAGAGGCCAGTGTAGTGTTTTGTGGATGAGTAAAACTGCTGTTGATTCCATTCTTGCGACTCGGGCAGCTGAATGGTGCTGGAGAAAGTCCCACATGCAGCTGTTTGTCGTACTGTTCATGTTCACCAGCCTCTGCTGGGCAGTCCTACGTGTTTCCCAAGTTGTCCCATCGTCCCTTATTCTAATAATTGTTTCAGACTTTTCTACTCTTAGAAACTTTGCCCCCCGCCCCCCTTCTCTGTCGTCAGCCACTCTTTGCTTTGTAAGGAAGAGTCTTCAGGCATGAACTCCTTTTACTTTGTAGCATTGAATACATGGTCCTGCCTACATGGCGCTGTCCACTTCTCCTCTACCCCTTTTTTGTTAGAAGCAATGTGTTTGTTTTTGCCTAAGGCCAAGCCCACTCAGTGCCCTGACCCCCTCTCTCCTGCTTTCATGGGGCCTTTGCCCTTTGGTCTTCCTCGGTTCCTGTGTCCTCAGCCTCTCCTCTTTTGGCTCTTTGTGTTAATCAGCATTTCCTCATTCTCAGGCCGTTTCCATCTTAAGTCGTACCTTTGTGTGTCCCCTGTCTTTCTTTCCCTACACTTCTTCTACCTGTGGTGTCTTTGCCTCTACTCTGAAGACCTCCTTGCTTATTCTACTTACGTCCTGCCTTCCAGCTCTCCTGTCAGGGTCAGTGGTGACCTTTATTCATGAGTCCACTGGACACCCTAATGCTGTCTTTCTGCATTCTACAGCTTCATTTGGCAATGTTGACTTTTCCCCTCTTTGAAATACTCACTGCTGGTTTCCTTGGCAGGATGTTCTCCTGTCTCTTTGGGTTTTTTTCTTCTACCCACCTATGAAACCTTGTTGTTCCTCGAGGCGTGACCTGTGTCCTTGTACTGCTCCCCTTAACGTTTCCTTGATGATTTCAGCCACTCCTGCCAGGGCCTGCAGTCACCATCTTTATGCCAGTTTTTCCTGAGTCTCAACTTCTGATTAGACTTCACTTCTGAACCCTAGGGCCTTTCTAATTGTTTACTATAAATGTCACCTTGAAAGTCTCGACAATGTGCAGTGGTAAAATTGCACATAAGCGGATGTCATTTTCACTTCCTTCTCAACTCTTCGACTTCTACCATTCTTTGTAAAAATGGCCCTAAATTTACACATTTGTTCAAGTCATAAATCTGGGGGCACTCCTCTCTCCCTCTTTCCCCACGCTGAATCAGACAGTAGATGATCTGGATTCACCGCATCTTAATACATTTTTATTCTCTGCCTTTCACTTTAACTCATTGTTATGACTTGTCTTACTGGAAAGAGTCCTCTAACCAGTCTTCCAGTGTCTGATTCCATTCACCTGCCAGCACCATTCTTTTCCCTGTAGGCAAGTGAGCTTTCGCTAAAACAGTCTGTTGTTGCTATTTTCCCTCCTTTTGTTTTGAGACGGAGTCTTGCCCCGTCACGCAGGTTGGAGTGCAATGGCACGATCTTGGCTCACTGCAACCTCCACCTCCTGGGTTTAAGTGATTCTCCTGCCTCAGCCTCCTGAGTAGCTGTGTTTACAGACATGCATCACTAAACCTGGCTAATTTTTATATTTTTAGTAGAGACAGGGTTTTGCCATGTTGGTCAGGCTGGTCTTGAACTCTTGACCTCAGGTGATTCACCCACCTTGGCCTCCTGAAGTGCTGGGATTACAGGGATGAGCCACTGTGCCCAGCCTATTTTCCCTGCTTTAAGCCAGTTTTGACTTGCCCTTATAGCTAAAACGAGATGTCGACCTCTTACCGTGGCGTCGGTGCTTTCCGGGATCTGGTTCCCACCCAGGCCATTTTTTCTCCTTGACTCTAGTCACACTGGTTTATTGTTCGGTTTTTGTAATATGCCACATTCTCTGTCACTTCTCTCACATTTCCTGTGCTCTCAGCCTGGAACACTTTTCCTCCTCCTTTTGCTTTGGTAACTACTGTTTATCCTTCGAGTCTTAAGTATCACTATTCCCAGGGGCTTCCCCTGAATCTTTATTCGTCTGTCCTTTCTTCCAAATCTGTTTTATATCACAAACACATACAGGAGTGCAAAGGGTAGCATAAGATACCATGTTCCTCCCACCTGGATTTCACAGAGGTCAGGATATTGCTTCAGATCCTTTTTTATTAACTTTTGAGTGGTTGATATAGTCACACGGTTTTAAAAATAAGCAAATAAAAAAGAATTCAGTGAAAGGTTTTCCTTCCATGCCTTCTAGCCCCTCAGTTTCTAAACCACTGTTATTAGTTATTAGTTTTTTGTATACTTTTTGAGATATTTTATGCATATATATAAGCAGATAGAAACACATATTCTTCATCCACCCTTTGTTCACTAATGGAACCACACCAGGCATCCTGTCTTCCAAACATCTTGGTTTTTCTAGTCTTACCATACATTTTGGAGCACTGTCTGTATCAGTACATAGTGAGCTTTTTCATTCTTTTTTTTTTTTTTGCATAGTATTCCGTTTAGATATTTCATAAGTCTCTTCACCATTCACCTGTTGTTTGTTTATTTTTAGAGCTAGAGTCTTGCTCTGTCACCCAGGCTGGAGAGCAGTGGTGTGATCACGGCTCACTGCAGCTTTTGGCATCTGGGCTCAAGCAGTCCGTGCCAACCACCCCCCAGCCTCCTCAGTAATTAGGCCTACAATTGTGTCCCATCACACCCTGCCGTGAGGTCTCACTATGTTTCCCAGTCTGGTCTTGAACTCCTGACTGATTCTCCCTCCTTGGCCTCCCAAAGTGCTGGGCTTATAGGCATGAGCCACCTTGGCCACCAGTCCCCTATTAATGGATGTGTAGTTCATTTCCAATGTTTTTTTCTGTTACAAATGGTAGTTTAATAAATAACCCCATACAGTAGTGTCCCTTCTTATCTATGGTTTCAGTTATTCAGTCAATCGTGGTCCAAAAATACTAAGTGGAAAATTTCAGTAACAATTTGTAAGTTTTAAATTCTATTATGAGTGGCATGATGAAGTCTCATGCTGTCCCATCCTGGACGTGACTCAGCCCCACTGTCTCCATGATACAGAAGTTCCTTTGCTTTGTAGGCGTGTAGGTTATCAGATCACAAATCACAGCATATAGAGGGTTTGGTTGTCTGCAGTTTTAGGCATCCAGTGGGGATCTTGGACTGTATCTCCTGTGGATAAGGAGGCACTGCATAGCTCATTCACACATACACATTGTATCTGTGATGTGAATTACTGGAAGCAGAATGGCTGTTCCAAGGGGTAAAGTGATTTGTAATTTTGATAACTATTGTAACATTGCCTTCCCACTTGATTCTCTAATCCAGTAACTTGAATAACTTTATAGTTTAAAAACCATTAGTACTTTGTTTTCTGAGAACTCACTGCCAGCTTTTCTACTGATTGTTCTCAGTAGTATCTCTTAAAAGTTTGGTTCTCAGACCACCTCCGTTGAATAAACGCTTAACAATTTGTACCAGCCGCTGGTGATGGAAACTGAGCCTTTGCCTTCCTAGAGCTTACAGTGACACAGGTAAATAAAATGAACATGAATAGAAATGGCAAGTAGCATTAGCTCTTAAAAAGAAGATGAGGATAATTTGGTAGAGAATGACTATCTGTCGGATAGGATGTATGAATTAGAGTAGGCCAAACTCTGATAACAGACTCCCAAAATACGGTAGCTTAAAAAGTACCAGTTTCTTTCATTTTCTTGTGTTACAGTCCAGAATAGGTGTTGAGGTTAGTGACTGGGCTGCCTTCCAGGTCCTGGTCTCCTACCATCTTGTGGTTCCACCATGCCCTACGGCCTAGTTGTCTACTGTGTCCAGCAGGCAGAAGGACTTGGGAGATATTATTTTGTGTGCCAGGCTAGCAGTGACATACAAGCTTTCATTCGCATTCCATTGACAGCTTAGTTAAATGGCCATCGCTAAGTACAAGGGAGGCTGGGAAGTGCTGTGTAGCCATGTGCTCAGAAAGAAGAAGAGTCTCGTACACAACCAGTAGCTTCTGCCACAATGGTTGAGGCAGCATCCGCCAGAGTGGTCAGGGAAGACTCTGGAACTGAAGTCATGAAAAAGAGACATCCATGCAGTAAGAAAATCCAAGAAAGAAGAACATTTCTAGGCAGAAGGGAGCAGCCTGTTACTAGTACACCGAGGCATCTGAGAGATTTTGACCCAGGGGAAGAATGCCCTCTTTGGTTGGAGCCCAGGTAGCCATGGGTAGGATGGCTGGAGAAGGAGGTTGGAGAAGTGGGCATCGGCCAGATGATGCAGACCATTGTGTGCCTTTGGTATTGTTTTGTTTTTCTAAGTGCAGTGAGGAGTCATTAAAGGAGTTTAAATAGGGACGTGATTGGATTTGTGTTATGAAAAGATTGTTCCTGCTACCCTTTGGAGAAGGGCAAGGATGAAGGCAGGGAGTTCATTTAGTTGACTGTTGGGTTAGCTAGCCTAGGCAAGACATGATGGTGGGGACAAAAAGAAGAGGCCAGATTTCGAATCTGTTTCTCAGGTAGATTCATTAGTTCTTGCTCATGGGTTGGGCAGAGGCATTTTTGAGCAGCTGGGTAGATAGTAGTCCGTTACTGAAAGAAGAAAGATGGAGAGAGGAAGGACATGAGGGGAAAAGTAAAGACTTCCTTTTGGACCTGCCCAGAATACTTACTATCTGGCTCTTTTCAGGAAATGTTTGCTAACCCCTGGCATAAACAGTGCTCCCAAGGAAAGACAGTGAGTAGTGAAATAGATGAATCTATTTAAGGATATAACTTCCTGAAAATTGCTGCTTTCATGATGAAATTTTTTTGCCTTTGAATGTATTTGGAATTTTGTGTTATGAAACTGTCTTAACAAATTAAACGTTTCGAAAACCCTTTCTCCTTGATTTATGTGATGCTAGTTTGCTGGTGTCATTGCTTTTGATGGGAGGTTAAAGCTTGGAAACAGTCTTCTGAAAAATCCTTTAAAAAATTTGTTCTTGCAGGTGCGTCAGCAATTTCCTGCTCCTCTTGGTTGGTCAGGCACTGAAGCTCCTACACAGGTCACTGTTGAAACTCATCCTGTTCAAGAAACCACCTTTCATGTAGCCCCTCAACAGAATGCATTGCATCATCACCATGGAAACAGTTCCCATCACCATCACCACCACCACCACCATCACCACCACCATGGACAACAAGCCTTGGGTAACCGGACCAGGCCAAGGGTCTACAATTCTCCAACGAATAGCTCCTCTACCCAAGATTCTATGGAGGTTGGCCACAGTCACCACTCCATGACATCCCTGTCTTCCTCAACGACTTCTTCCTCGACATCTTCCTCCTCTACTGGTAATCAAGGCAATCAGGCCTACCAGAATCGCCCAGTGGCTGCTAATACCTTGGACTTTGGACAAAATGGAGCTATGGACGTTAATTTGACCGTCTACTCCAATCCCCGCCAAGAGACTGGCATAGCTGGACATCCAACATACCAGTTTTCTGCTAATACAGGTCCTGCACATTACATGACTGAAGGACATCTGACAATGAGGCAAGGGGCTGATAGAGAAGAGTCCCCCATGACAGGAGTTTGTGTGCAACAGAGTCCTGTAGCTAGCTCGTGACTACATTGAAACTTGAGTTTGTTTCTTGTGTGTTTTTATAGAAGTGGTGTTTTTTTCCAAAAACAAAGTGCAAAGCTGCTTGAATCAGAAGGAGATTAACACACTGAACCGCTACAAGAGGGCAAAGCTGACTTTTTTTTTTTTTTTAACTTGAAAGATTGCAAAGGGACATTGAAGTGTTTAAAAGAGCCATGTCCAAACCCATCTTCATGGATAGCTCAGAGGTATCCTCTTTTTGCTCCCCCATTTTAACTTGCCACATCTAGTCATAATGTTTTTTTGTTTTTGGTCTTTCTATTCAGCAAAAGTTAATGTTCAAATGTTGGTCCTGGTCATTTGCCAACTAATTTTAAAATAAAAGGCACTGCACATAATTTGCATAAAGGGCCCATGAGGGTGTTTTTTTTTCCCCCCCTGTTTTTCCCCCTTTTTGGTCCTGTTTTGTTTTGGGTGGGAAATTTGGGTTTTTGAGTCCTCTAAACACACTTGGGCACGGAAATGCAGTACTGTAAGGAAGAGGGACCTCCAGCTTCCACAAACACCATCTTCAGCTATGTGTATTGAAGTTTGTCAGGCACAGCAAGCATGCTGAGTGGCGGGGATCACAACTCTCCTATCTGAACCTACTGAGAAGCAAAGCAGCAATTACCTGGGATCCTGTGGCTCTCCTGTTGTAGAGGCCACAGGAAGATAGGACGGAACATGACTGGTCTCCTAACCAAGGTGCACTGAGAAGCAATCAACGGGTCAGTCGTGGCCAGTCCTGGGGAGGTCTGAGTGGTGGTCTTTGGGATAACCTTTGGCCTTATGGATTTGGACTCAAAATGAGAAGAGCCTACCATTTCAGATGCAATCACTTTTGGACATGCTTTTGCAGACAGTCCTTAATGCTGAAAACACAGAGAATGGGTAATTCAAGAGGCCTTTCTTTTAAAATAGACTTTTGTGACCCACTAATTGTAAGGTATTGCAAGGTCACTTTGCGTGTGTCATAAAGTTGACTTTCTTATTGGTTGAAGGTCACAGAAGTAGTGGTTTGCTTTGATGGAAATAGCTACAGCTGTGTCCCTTCCTGCTTTTTACCTTTTCTTTTGCTTTTTCTCGGCACGTGGTATCTCCACCATTTCTTCTGCACAAAGATGTCTTCTGTTCCTCCTGAACATTTTTAAAAAATGCAGAATTTTATGTGACTGCTTTTTTGCCTCACAATTATGCTGTGAATTTTACAAAAATTTATTTTCTTTTTTGATAATTTATTGTACCAAAGCTGTTTTTATAGCACATAGATGTCTGTAACCAATAATGTAGCAGTTCTGCACTTTGACACAAGGTGTAACTAGACCATTTTTAAATGTCAGTTGAAAATTATGGCTGTACTATTGCTTAAACAAAACTGGAACTGTTGTTGAATCCATAGCCAATACATTTACAGCAATCTGTGTACTGAACATAATAGATTGACATCTAACTCAAGATTACAACATCTGTTACATTCTAAATGTGTTCAGGCTTCTGAAGGTAAAGGGACACTGGGTCCAGAAGCTATGGAACCAGCAGTTGATTCTTGTATTCCTGATTAACCTACTTGTAAACTTGAAAGCAAGACCTTGATTGCACCAACAGGTCCAGAGTATGAGCTCAAGTAAAGCAGAACTCTCATGCGTGACCTGAGCAGACAGGCTGGTATTTAACAGGTGCCTCGTGTTGAGATTATGCTGCCTTAATGTAACACAGTCTGGCAGTTGCTAAATTTGTGTTCCCATTTTAAATTGACCAATTTTGGGGTGTTATACATTTGAGTGGTTGAATTGGGAGAATGAAGATAAGTAATTTATCTGTCCAGGATCAAAAGAAGCCTAGAAAAGAAGCAGTAATCTACCTCTGCCGATAACCCTGTTTAAGACGACTCAGTAGAACACCGCGTTTCTTTTTATTGGTCAATTCCATGTGGCTGACTAGGTCAGTTTTTTTTTTTTCTGAACAAAAGCAGGTTTTTATATGTAAACAGTGACAAAAGAAAGGCTAAACACTATGTAAATGTGAATGGACACTTGGAAATATTAGTTTTTATAAACCACAAACATTTTTTGTTGTTAATCAGGAAATCCATATTTATTTTGTAATTAAATGTCAAGCCTGTGGATGATTTTTTGGAACTTGGTAGTTCATAAAGGTTTACAGTGAATAAAAGGATATCACCTTGAGTATAGCAGTATCAAAAGGAAGTCAGTAGTTACTGCTGTTTAGGAATATAAGGTTAAGATATCATATGGGTCAGGTCATTTTTTTTTTTTCTGTGCTGGTTGCCACATCTTAGCAAGCACCAAAAAACTAAAGCAGTTTTTAAAACCGATATTTACATAAAGAAAATCATAAAATCCAGTGCTTCTGCATACTGTGTTACGTTACAGTCCAGTTTTGTGTGCTTTACTACACAGTTTGGTTACAGGACTTCTGTGCATTGTAAACATAAACAGCATGGAAAAGGTTAAATACCTGTGTTCAGATTGTAAGATCTAGTCCGGACTTGCTGTGTATATTGTAACGTTAAATGAAAAAAGAACCCCCCTTTGTATTATAGTCATGCGGTCTTATGTATGATAAACAGTTGAATAATTTGTCCTCAGACTCTTTACTATGCTTTTTTAAAATTAATTTAAGAAAAATGTAAACATAGTAAAACTATTCCTATGCAATCCACCTGGCCCAGGTCTGGTAGGTATACTATCAAAGCTGAGTTCAATGTGTCAGAAGGAAACGACGTGAGATCCATCGGCGTAGGCGTCAGCAATCTCTGACAGTAAAAACTGGAGGGTCAACAGATCATTTTGATTTTTCACATTGATTTTTTTATATGAATGCTGAGTAGCAATTCTCCTGTGGTTCAAAATGCTAATATTTCAGTTGGTAGCATTCAGAGTGGATGTGAGGGTCTGGTGGTTTTCTTTAATAAGCTCTGACGTGCTTGGATGAAGGAGGGAATGTGAATACTCTTCTTCCTCCTTCCCCAAATCCTCATACAGGGGCATATCAGGGACTCTCTTGTACGCATTCTAGAATTCTTGCCATAGTGATTCAGTTTCTAACCTAAAGTCTTCTCTTCTTGCAAATTAACCTGCATCAGTATAAAGGTGGCTTTCGAAAGGTAAGATACTTATTTAAAAAGTGTGTGAGTCTGTAAAATTAAGGTTGGTTTTGTGTAGTTGAAGTTAACCACATATAAGAAAGGAAACCTGCTTTTTCTTGGGGTGTGAGAATTGCACCTAGGTAAAGGGCACATTTTATGATACTGGGCTGAAAAAAAGAACAATTTTCAGCCTCATTTAAAACTACATGTAAATAAATCATGAAGGATGCAGTAATTCTGTTAGGCCCACAAGTGGCTGTTGAGCTTGCCCTGTACTGTTTCCAACTTCTGTGGTGTTGAACTTACTGTTCCATTCTTCCAGTAGGGAGATACAGAATCAAAATACACAAAAAGATGAGATAGCAGGCACTCTGTTCAAGCCCAGTTTCTCAGTTTCCTTTTTCCCTGCCTTTATTTTGATTGCCCTCAGAATACAAGTTCAGACGCGATCCAGTGCATTCAGGTGGTATGCTTGTAGACAGAATGCAAGTTAAGGCTGATTTTTACGTGCATTTTTATGGTGTTAGACTGTATGTAATAGACCAGATGGTTCATTCCAAATACATGACTTGGTCTTAGTGCCACATATGAAGGAAGTTTGAAAACGGAGACAAAAGCTGTGCGTGACCTTGGTATACCAAGACTGTCTTCAGATTTCTTAAAATCTTCTAGGGATATCTGTTAACCAGACGTTGGAAAACCTTTAGTGTCGGAGAATAGAGGAGAGGCTCTGGTTTTCATAACCCTGGCTCCTTATCTAGGCCTGTCCTCAGATGAAAACATACATCAGCGAGTAATTTGTAGTACAAAGAACAAGAGAAGAAACACTAAGAAAATAGCTTATTTGTTATCTTCCCTTTTAATGACTAACCTTACTCCAAATGAATCCTCTGAGAACCAGCTTGTGAAGCCTGCTGGGCTTTCACCCTGGACCGGGAATTTTTGACGTATGCCTGAGTTTACAGCACTGGATGCTTGTTTTGTGGAAGGCGTGTCCGGGGAGGTAAGTGGTTCATCGCCTTCTGTTTGTCCTTCCTTGCAGCATTTTGCATAGCCCAGGTCCCAGATTTCAGCTGCTCTCAGAAATGAAGAGCACCAGGGTGTTCTTGCATTGGAAGGTAGCATCAGAGCACTACCTTCACATGAGACTGCCAAGTATTTGTCAGTATTGATTTCTAATTCCCTACTTTAAAGTCTCTCAAGACAAGAAGGTATTTCTCCAACTGGATACTGATTTAAACACAGTAACTAGAATGCTACAGGTCTCTTTTCTAGTATGCAGCTGCTTTATCTGAAAACTTTTCCCCGTAATTTCCCATCTTTAGAGTATGTCCCTGTTATAAAAAGCCAGCGGTGGAATTAATGTGGGCAGTTTCCATTTCAGTTGAATTTCCTACCATCCCCAGCAAAACCTGTGAATGCTCCTTCAAAGCATTGAGGAGGCAGAGACAAGCCTTCAACCGGCTTCCTTATGCTTTTAGGAGGTAGCCTGGTTCCTGAAAGCACAGTACTAGAGCCTGAGTCGTGTTGACTCATAAGTACATTAACTTTAGGTTAGGCAAAGTGGTGGCAAAAGTTGAGGATGCAGGACCGAGGAAACGGCGGTCAGGTGGAGCACAGCTCTGCTGGCATCGGAGACGAGGCTGGTGATGCTGTCGGGAGCCTGATGGGCCGAGTTCTCATAGCCAGAGAAAGGCCAAGTAGGTATTAGTGCTTATGTTTTGTCTGTTCGAAAGACCAATTATTTGGTAATCTTTCCAATTAAATTTCTAAAATGGCTACGTTTGGGTTTTTTTTTGCTTTATTACTGTAAACTTTTGCTCCCAATATATACTCATTCATTAGTCAGTGTACTTGCCCCTGAATTCTGTACCTAAAACTGCAGTCAAGGGGAGATTCAGAGCCAAGGGCAGAAATCAAGTGGTAGGCTCTGGGCATGGGTGGTAGTTATTCGCTAGGCAGCCAGGAGCAGCCAAGCAGGTGTGCCAGGTGGGGAGTTATTAACACCCAGACAGGAAGATGTGCCTGGGCCTGAGTGTGGTCAGTAGAAAATGTTGAGTTGCTTATAAGAAGCGCTAGGATAATGGATTGTGAAGCATACTCCACTCACCGTTGCATAGAAAAACTGCAGAGAAGTGCACTAGTGGGGTCGAGGTGAGGATGGGGTTAACTCCCTCTGAGATGAAAGAAAATAGTGGCGTGAGACGGTTGAGTTTATTTTAGTTACTTCTTTTTAGAGACAGTGGCTTTGTCATCCAAGCTGGAGTTTAGTGGTGTGATCACAGTTCGCTGCAGCCTTAAGTGACTGGGATCAGGTGATCCTCCCACCTCAGCCTCCCGAGTAGCTGGGACTACTGTGCACATCACCATGCCCGACTAATGTTTTTAGTTTTTTTGGAGAGAGAAGGTTTTGCTAAGTTGCTCAGTCAGTCCTCAAACTCCTAGCCTCAAGTGATCCTCCCTCTTGGGCCTCTCAAACATTAATAGGGTGAGCGTGGTGGCTCACAGCTGTAAAGATTTAAAGTGGTGAAATAGCTTGAGAAAGCTTTTTTATGTGCATCACAGACAAGCCTTGTTCTGCCGAAGAGGTGATGCGGCAAAGTGGAGAGGAGGTCTCCCAGGCGCCACTCCCACTTCCATTGCCTGAAAATCCAGGAAAGAGATGACATGAACTCCAGTGATCTCAAAGAGCTCAGTCAGTACTCATCAATGCAAAATGAGTTTCCAACCTTGCTGCACATTAAACTCATCTGTAGAACGTTATAAAACCACAGATGCCCATCACACTGGCAGTGTTTTAGATTCAGAGTTGGGGTGAGGCCTGGAGCTCTGTTTTCTGAAATTGCAGGCAATTCTGAACCTGCAGCCAGGCAGGACTCAGGTAAGAAGAGGCATGTGGCTAATGTGACAGAAGTCTGAGTCCAAGAATATTTTTCTTTTTGAGTCACTCTGTCTCCCAGGCTGGTGTGCAGTGGTGTCATCTGGGCTCACTATAACCTCCATTTCCCAGATCCAAGCGATTCTCGGGCCTCAGCCTCCCGAGTAGCTGGGATTACAGGTACGCACCACCACACCCAGCTAATATTTGTATTTTTGGTAGAGATGGGGTTTTGCCATGTTGGCCAGGCTAGTCTTGAACTCCCAACCTCAAACTACCTGCCTCAACCTCCCAAAGTGCTAGGATTACAGGTGTGAGCCACTGTACCCAGCCCTAAGTACATCTTGAAATGGAGTTTAATTACCAAAGTTTACGTAGAGTAATGGGTAATTAAAATTTATAATTTATAGTGCATTACAAAATGTTATAAACAGGCTTCTGAGAAAGGCAGAAATTGCCAGAAGTGAGGATGTAAAACTGAGACAGTTTGTTCCCTTTTGTCATCTTTCCTTGTGGAGATGGGTCAGTGTGACATCCTATTCATTAATGGCTCTCAGATGTCCCATGAGAATGGCTTGTGTGATTTCCCAGCAGTGGGAGTGGAATTGGTTCCTTTATACCTCGGTCTCATTTGGTCTTGTAAGCTGGTGAAGGGTTCCCCAGGGCACCAGCCACCAGCTCTGTGCAGTAGTTACAGTTTCCCTCTGTAGAATCCCAGAGGGGTTCAGATCTCACCAGTCCTCTGATCGGCTTTGTGACCCTGGACTTTTTTACTTGTCCAAGGATCACTATTCTCTTTGTAAAATGGAGATACCTGTAGTGTCTACTTAGGGAATGCTGTACACACCTCAGCGAGGTAATGTGCACAGAAAGCACAATGCCTAGTATGGAGGAAGCGTCCAGTCAATACTCAGCCGAGGCCACAGCCTGAATGGAACCTTCTTTTCACTGTGAAGGGAGATTAGGTGAGCAGTGTTCTCCGTGGACACTTAAACAGGATTGCTTTCCAGCTTACTTTTACTTTCAGAGTGTGGGACCGATGTTAACATTCATTTACTAGGTGGTTTTGCCTACTGCACAGTCCCTGTGTCTATTTTAGAGTTTTGAGGTTTATTGTGGGAAGATATGATACTTACATGTTTCGTAAGGATGGGTTTTCAGTAGAACTTTTCTATATAGCCTCAAGGAGACTGCCTGGAGGAATAACTACGGCAAGGGTCTGTTTTTGAACAGGCATTGTCATTAGACCCTGGTGATGATGTGTCCAGGGATCGGTCCCCACCCCTTGCTCCCACTCCAAGGAAAGTCTTACATTTTAGCCTTCAGAGGTTTGACGTAGATCAGGGAGCAAAAAGGGTGACAATAATCAGTTCTTAAGTTTATAAATAAATCGGATACTATTGGGGAAGCGTTTGGAATTTAATAGGTTGTAACCCACATTTTGAAAGCAGTAAGGAACTACCTGCTGTTTTTCCTTCTGTTTCCTTTGTTGATAATATGAGGTGACGACATTGAGTCTGGGTTCTCTCAGTGTTAGCCTGCTACTCCTAGAGTATCCTCCTTTCCTCATAGCAAGTAGAAGGACAAAAAGGCCTTAGAATTAAAGTATGTTTATTTGCAC